TTGCAGGTCCCCCTGCAATGTCAACCCTTCTTACAAGGCCGCCACAGGAGGAATCCAAGTGCACAGACTGCTACAAAAGGATTCTAAGTGTGGGGGCCACTGCAGATCCTCCACCATTGAAGTTTTTGTTGCAAGGTCTCCACAACGGACTCCTCTATTAACGGCCGCCGCAAAACGATTTTATTGTAGATTATCTGCATTGTAAAAAACATCGATCGTCGCAGGTTATCCTAGCTGTGTCTTGTTTTCCTTGTGAAAACACCAGTTGCTTCTTCTTTTCTTGGTTTCATCTGTAGCTTTCCTGGGCTCAAGATACCGCCCGCCACTGCAGATACCTCATAACTAAAACACTTTTGTAAGGCCGCCACAAAAGGAATCCCTTTGCACAGGCCGCTGCATAAGAGTTCTAAGTGTGGAGGCCACTGCAGCTCCTCCACACTTAAAATCCTTCTGTTGCAGGGTTACCGCAGACGGAATCCTTTTGCAAAAGAGTTACAGAAAGACTTCGGGAGACAAATGAGAAACGGGGGGATGAAGAAGAACGAGGGCGATCAACATGCATGATGAGTAAACTGATGATCCGTAGCGTTCCAATCTCTAGGACATCTACCAAACATGCTTTGTTGTAATCTTACAAACAGCGGTTCGGACAGACCCCCCAAAGGGGGCACGCTCATGGACGAAGAGGGCGGAAGCTGAGGGCTCGGGGTAGACATGCTGAGAGTAGCACGCGAGCAGATCTGAATCAATATCGTTTGGCCACTCCCCGTCCCCCTCCCAATACCCGCCATCCCACCACCCCAGTTGGGGAAATGCCCCTCGAGGCCCGAAGGGAGCGGCCTTCCTGCCTACATGTCCTCGTCGGGGGGGTACACATCGGCCAGTGGGGCCCAGGCCACGCCAGTGGGGCTAGGGCGCGGTGAAACGATGCTCACAAAAACGAGCAGCCTCAAAGTCGTCGTTCTTGGCATCGCTCGGACGTGTGCATTTTTTCTTCGGCGAGAACCATCGAGGACCATCCTGGACCATCGAGCAAAAAAAACGCACGACATCGAAAAATGCACGGGAAATGGACGTCCAAGCGACGGCAAGCGTTGACGTCACCGTGGCCACCAGCTCCTCCTGCGGCGGGGGCGCGCCTCGCCGACGTTGCCCCCCTCGTGCCGGCCCGCGCCCGCGAGGCGTGCGCGGAGCGCCCGGCGGCAGCGCGCGCGCACGGAGCAGGCAGGGGCGCTCACGCTCCTTGGCAGCGCCTGGACGTGTGCATTTTTGTTCTTCGGCGAGGGCCATGGGGGAGAATCCTGGACGACTTAGCGAAAAAAAGCACGCACGAGATCGAAACAGACACGAGGAGTGGACGTCTGAGCGATGGCAGGCGCTCGCATTCGCTCCCTGCCTCATCCGGGGACCCGCCGCTTCGGATGCCATTCCCGGGAGGTCTAAGTTTGGCTTCGTTTTGCCCTGGTCCGAAGTTCGGCCTACTCAGTCTCGGTCCCGCCTCATCTGGCGCGATCCCGGTAAATCCCGCTGAATCCGCGGCCTAATCCGGCGTAGCAGCCTCCCAACGGGGCTTAAGTATCCCTAATCTTTCCGACGAAGACCTCCAAGCACCTGCCTCCTATCGCCATTTCTTCTGTTGTAAATAAGCAAGACATCATTATCACCTGGGGGTTTGGGGTTTGGGTCGTCTTGGGATCATCTCGTGGTCCTTCTCTGGTCGGTTGGCGATCCTCTTGGGGCCGCGGTGAGGTTGCATGGGGCCACCTTGAAGCACCGCGCAGGCGTGGCAGAGCTGTGTCCGTTTCCGGGCCCGTGGGTCGGTCACGTCTGCTAACAATCAGGAGGGGAACAAACATATCGGAACATATGGGAAGTGGGGGGAAGACGAAGACCCAGAAAAGATCGGGAAACGTAGGGAATCCTGGGATTTCTGTCTATTTATTTGTGTGTCCCCGGGCCCTTCAAACACTCGGGGAACAAACAATGACATAAACATACAAACTTGGCGGTTCGCGCGGATTTCTCGGATCCGTGCCGGACCCCCTCATTGGCGCGCGGAGCGCACCAGGGGCGACGTTGGAGGCGCCTCCAGGGGGGCCCAGCGCCGATCCGATGAATCCTCGCGGACTTCCGAGTTTTCATTATCTTTTTATCATTGCTCGTTCCCCTCAAGAATCAGCTCACCGTCCTCACCGCCCTCCCCCCCTAACGTAGGTCCGATGTTTTAGGGATGTTCCTGAACATGCGGGTGGTTTCCAGCGTAGGTCAATTTGTTAGGGATATCCCTCAACATGTGGTTTCGTTTGACACATCTGCAAAACAGGCCCCCTACCCCGAATGCTCGTTGCCCTGCCAACTTAGGTTCCCTCCCGAAGGGTTAGGAGCAGTTTTATTGCGAAGGCCTGACGGCCGGTGCCGCCGACCCTGAAGAGGACCACGACGTCGGCGACGAAGTGGGCGGAGACGGAGGCCGCGGAAGATGAGGAGGAGGAGGAGGAGGAGGAGGAGGAGGAGAAGGCGAGGAGGAGGGGGGGGGGAGGAGGAGGAGGAGGAGAAGGAGGAGGAGGAGGAGGAGGAGGAGGAGGAGGAGGAGGAGGGAGGAGGAGGAGGGGGAGGAGGAGGAGGAGGAGGAGGAGGAGTAGGAGGAGGAGGAGGAGAAGTAGGAGGAGGAGAGTAGGAGGAGGAGGGAGGAGGAGGGAGGAGGAGCGTGGAGGTGGAGGTTGGAGCAGGAGAGGGGGGGAGGAGGAGGGGGAGGAGGGGGGAGGAGGAGGGAGGAGGAGCGTGGAGGTGGAGGTTGGGGAGGGGGGGAGAGGAGGGGGAGGGGGGAGGAGGGGGAGGAGGAGGAGGAGAGGAGGAGTTGGAGGAGGAGTTGGAGGAGGAGAAGGAGGAGGATGAGGAGGAGGAGCCAGAGAAGGAGGAGGAGAAGAAGGAGGAGGAGGAGGAGGAGGAGCAGGAGGGTTACCGAAAAAAGGGCTCCAGCGGCGCCAGAAAGTCTCAATCCGCGAGCCTGGGGTTCGGAGTCCGCAGAGTGAGCAGGAGGAGGAGGAGGCGGAGGAGGAAGAGGAGGAGGAGGAGGAGGGGGAGTGCGAGTTGTTCATGTTCAGTCTTTCGTCATTGTCGGCCTCCAGGGGCCATTTTGGGAACGGGGAAGCCGCGGGGGGTTCTGGAACCGCGCGGGGACCGCGCCGGACGCGCGGGGAGTGTATCTGGGAGGCGACCCCTTGCGGGACCCCCCCGCGGGACCCCCCCGGGAACCCCCCGGGAGCCCCCCCGGGACTTCCCCGGGAGCCCCCCGGGACCCCCAGGACCCCCCCCCCGCCGATGAAGGGATGAAGGGAAGGGGCTTCCCATTGACGTGGTTACGACATGGGTCGATTTCCCTCAAGCCCGCTAGAGCACTGCAACGACGACGACGACGACGACGACGACGACGACGACGACGACGACGACGACGACGACGAACAGCACAGCCCCTCACACACGCCGACAGGGTCGGCAGATTCGTTGACCAGCCGTCCTCGCCGTCCCTCAACCCCATCAGGGAGGTGAAAAAGGGACATAATCGACTTGATTACGACGTTTCTTTTGCGACGGTTCTTGTCTGTGTTCGGTCCCCCTACTTGGTTAAAGGCTGGTGCCTCGAGAGGCTACGTTGCCCGTTCCTCGGAGGTTCCTCGGGTTCCTTCGTTGCCCCAGGTTTCCCGGGTTCCTCGGGTTCCTCGGGTTCCTCAGGTTCCCGGGTTCCTTTGGTTCCCCGGGTTTTTGGGGTTCGTCGGATCCCCCAGGTTATTCGGGATCTTCTGGTTCCCCGAGCAATGCCAAGCGATGCAAAGCAATGCCAAGCAACGCCGAGTAATGCGAAGAAATGCGAAACAATACCAAAACATACAAAACAATACCAAGCAATGCCAAGCAATGCCTAGCAATGCGAATCAATAACAAGCAATAACAAGAAATGCAATGCAGTGCCAAGCAATGCCAAGCAATGCCACGCAATGCGAAGCAGTGCCAAGCAATGCCAAGCAGTGGCAAGCACTGCGCCCATGTAATAGGAAGCATTCCCATCATTGGGGTCGCGCTGGGTTAATTTTTAATTCTCTTTTGGACTGGCAACGACGACGACGAAGACGGCGACAGCGTCTCACACACGCCGACTGGGTCGGCGGATTTGTTGATCAGCCGTCCTGACCGCCCCTCGCCCCGCGAGGAGATGCGCCGCGGGAGGCGCTGCGCCCCGGGCCGGGGCCTGCGCGCCACCGCGCGGGCGCTGTGCCGCCTCTTCGCGGCCGTGCCGCCGCCTGAGTGCGAGCAGCCGCAGAAGGCGCCTCCCCCCTCCTGCATCTTTCACTCGACGAAGCAAAGGCTGCATCTTAGCTGTCCTGATACGCCCGTCTTGAAGCACAACACGTACCGTTTTCAAAACGAAAGTACTAGCACGCCGCGTATTGGTTCGGCACGTGTGGGTCACGCTTTGGCGAACGTGTCGCGCCAACCGCACTTTTTCAGTCTACGTGTTGCGCTCCGTGTCAACACGCAACGGGTTCGGTGCTGCGCATCGGGGCGGCTACGCTTCTGCCTCTTGCTCTCGACGGAGAAACACACTCCAAATCTCACAATAGCGGGGGGCGGCTCAATCCGTTGCCATGTTGGTTCAAGGGGATGCCTCGGCCCGAGTGGTGGTAGCGGCGTCGCGGCGGTGGCCAGCGATGGGCGCGCGGCTTGCGTCCAACAGCTCCCTGAAGAGTCTCCGGGCCCCCGGGTCTGTCAGCTGTCGGACGAGTTCATGTTTGCCGTTGACGCCAAGTACGCCGCGGCACAGCAGAAGTTGTCAAATACCATCTCGCGGGTGATGGCCCCGAGGCGGGCAAGCGCCATGACGTGCATGAAGGTCGAAGGTTTGCGGTCGATGGGCGTCCTTGACGAGAAGTTCGACTCAGTGGCAGCGGTAGACGCCATGGACGACATCGTGTTCAAATTCCGGTACAAAGTGGAGTACCAGGATGATCATGATCGCCAAACGGAGCCATGGGTGGTGGAAAATTCTCTTCGCAAAGAAGGGTCGAGCGCCGCTCGGGGCAATCTATTGCTTCATGATCGCCTGGTCGGGGTGTGTCGTCGCGTTTTTCAGGCACCACGTGGATGTTACGCCCGACGTGGTGCTGGAGCCCTGGATCGACATGGGGGCAATCCCGCTGTTGCTGATCTTTGTGGGCCTGATGCTTCTGGTGGTCTTCCGCACGCAGACTACCGACCTGAAGTGGAACCAGGCGAGGACCGCGTGGACCAGGGTCCACGCGTCGTGCTGGGCGCCCGCGCTCCAGTCCTGCGTCTACCTGAAAGGCCTGGACGCCGCCAGCTCGGTCTGCCAATACCTTGTCGTGTTCGCGCTGTCGATGCGGTCCTGGCTGAGGCGGGAGCCCCTCGCCGAGCACCTCGTGAGCAGCAGCCTGCCGACGCCCGAGGGCCTCGCGCACCTCCTCTTGCGCGCAGACGAGGCCCACCGAGCTGCAGACCCGCATATATATATATATATATATATATATATATATATATATATATAGATATAGATATAGAGGGCGACTCGAGCGGGTCCTTCCACTTCAAGAGCGTCACCGCTCTCCCAGGTCATCTCTGCAAGCCGCTTCGGCGCCATCTTCGAACTAACTCGCGTGCTGCCCCCCTCCCCCTGCCACCCCAACCCCCCTCCTGGCGGCCTGCGACGCGCCCCGCGGGCCGTCCGCGGGCTCGGGCGTCGGGCTGCGGAAAATGCCGACGAGCCCGTGGAGCACGTTCGAGAACGTAGCGTAGCGACGGCGGCGGGTGGACGAGGGGTGATCCTGAGGCACGCCGTCGAGGGCAAGCAGGTTAGGCCCCTGTTCCACACCACGGTGGAGGGCCGCATCAGGCTGTTGCAGCGCGACCTGCACACGGTGGAGAAGGTATCGGACACCCAGATACCGTATGCGTACATCACGCACGTGCGCACTGCCATGTTCGTTTACTGCATCTCCGTTTCGTTCGTTCTGGTAAAAGGACAACGGGTGGTACACCGTATGGTCCGTCAAGTCTTATGGTAATGTGGTGATTGGGTTAGAGAACCTTGCCGTGGAGATCGAGAACCCGTTCGGCACCGACGCCAACGATTTGCCACTGGATGCATACTGCTGCCAGATCACGCGAGATATCTGTGACATGTTGAAGAGCCGCCAGGCCCGTACAGCCGAGACAGGGGACGAAGCCAGACAACGCAACGGAACACCGAAAGATGATGAGGAAGACGACGAAGTTGAGGGTGATGAAGAAGGCAATGACGACGGCGACGACTGAGGGGGACTGCCCTAGTTTCACTTACCGGTGGCCCTCACCGCAAGTATGTACTGCGGACTCGAAGCAGGACGAGAAGAGTGGCTTGCACGCCGAAGGAAACATATAGCAGGAGCGGCTCAAAAAGTGTTTGACAGCGCGTCTGCCCCCCTCCCCAAGAGCGGTGCAACAGCGGATCTGGCATCGAGAACCCCAAACAATTTTGCTTGACGAGGCCCGTAGGCCCTCACGAACGTAGACCTCCCCCAATTATCATGATATGCAGAGTAGACATAAACCTGGGACGGCGTGGATTTCTCGGATCGGGGCTGGGCCGCCGATCTTGGGGGCACCTTGGGCCAGGGGCACTTCTGGCAGCACTCGAAGGAGGGGGCTGCCTCCGCCTCTCTCAGGCGTTGCGAGAGGCGCCCCTGACCCAAGGTGCCCCCAGGAGTTCCAAGGAGGCCCTGACGGCCTCCAGCGGGCCCCAAGGGCTCAAACATGGAGCGAAAAGCTGGGTCCACTTCGTGCCTTGGACTGTGTGGTGAGCACCCCGCGTGGTGAGTCATTGGGGATTCGGGGTCACCGCAAGATTTTGAGACTCGGGTCGTCGGGTCGCTCTCCGAGGACGTCTCGGACGATTTGGGCCTCCGAGGTCCAACAACCGTGCGGTGACAGGACTCGCGGCAAGGTCGTTGGGGATTCCGAGGCCACCACGCGGTCCATCAGCACACGAAGTTGGGACCCAGGGTCCTTCGCCGTCCTACAGATCGGGCCCAGCCAGAATGCCCACCTCTGCCCCACGCGCCGTGGGTACCTGCAAGGACGGCCGCAGATCTCGCCCGGGGGCAGGCGGCCGAGAGGGGGTCCTTCCGGCGCCGTGCTTCTCGGCCGCTTCGGTTGCGAGCCCCAGTTGCCAGTCTGTCTCTGTGCTGCGATCTGTTAGGTCAGTGAGTTTGCTGTCCTGCGGAGCCTCTCGGCGCGCAGGCCGGGGTTCGCGGACCAGTCTCGCCGCTCGGCTGGGTGCATATATCGTGGCTGTTGCCAGTGGATGTTGAAGCACATCCTCCTGCTTCGCCGTGCCAGCGGTGCATCTCCAAGGCCGAACGGCGCTACCACGAGCTGACAGCCAGCACCCACACTCATGCGACCCCAAGACTTCTCGGGGTGGTATCCCAGGATGGGAACCAGAGGGCGTGTGCTGCCGGATGGGGGTCCCCGCTCGAATGCGGGCCCCCACCGGTGTCCGACCACCCGTGCGCATAATTCAAGCGCGCGGGTCAGCAGCCCCTACAGGTGTGAGGGCGCGTTGCCCGTTCATCCGCACAAGCGGTGGAGCCAGAGGCCGCACGGTGCCAGGCGGCCGACCACTTGAACAGCAGGCAACGCCGTGCCGCCCCGTGCTCAGCCTCCCCCTCCTCCCCCCTCCTCGTGCCCCTCCTCCTCCCCCCCCCGGGACCCCCGCCTCTTCCATCCCTTGTCCGTATCACTGAGTACTCGTCTTTGCCGCAACCCGAGACGTGCCGGTAGGACGGACCGGGCGTTGCGCCTGAGATTCTTTAAACTTGCAAAAGTTTCACGGATGGAGGGCGGGTGGTTTTCAAATGTGGTTTGCGCGCGCTGCGAAAATTCGTCCCAAACGTTTGCAAGACCTGCGCGGATAGAGGACGGTTCCTTTGCAAATGGTGGGTCGCGCTTCAGCGCCGCGCATTTATCACAGTATGCGTTTACAGTTCGCAAGAATTTCACGGCTGGAGGGCGGTTCAAAAGTTGCCAAAGTTGGTTATCGCTCCAGCGACGCGCACAGTCGTTTCACAAGTTTAGATGGAAAGCGGGCGGTTTTCAAAATGTTCTCGGTAGTGCCATGCACGCTCGCCCGAAACATGTGCAAGAACTTCACGGGTGGAGGGCGGTTCCTGATCAAAATGTGGTTCTTGCACCAGCGTTGCGCACAATCGTATTCAAAAGTCTGCCAGATCTTCATGGATAGATGGTGGTTCCTGTTGCAAGATGTATTCCAAGTTTGCAGTAGTTTCAAGGAATTGATGGCCGGCGTCCCAGAAATGATGTTCGGTCACGCTTTAGGACTGTCAGGGCGCAACAGTCACGTGGATTTGCGGTATTGAGGTTCCAGGAACGGTGCTTTGGCACGATGCAGGATTGTCACAACGCACCAGTAACGTCAATTTGTGGCGCTGAAGTCCCAGGAGTGGTGTCTTGCCACTACTGAGGATGCTCAGACGGGTGTCTTCCAAGGGGGGCATTTCCCGTAGTAAAAATGTATTCCTAGGCCTAGGAAGAGGGAGCTCGGAGTGGAGTGTGTTGCAACATCGTTGGTACGTCCTGGGTTTGCACTGGGCCTCTTCCTCCTCCTCTTCCTCTCTTCCTCTCTCCGCGGGCTTGGCGTCGGTTTCGGGCCGGCCGCCTGCAGCGTGATATGAGCTCGAGATCGTTGGGCGCGGCTTGGGGGGCGTCGTGATGCCGCTCCCGACCTCCGACGGCCGGATGTGTCTCTACTCGCCGTGCCCGGATGTGGGCTAAGTTGGCGGAGCCCACTGGCTGGAATTACCGGACCCTGTTAAGCCACCTAGGGCATCTGTAACCCACTGATAATCTAGCTTAGGCCAGCCATCACCCACCTTCACATTCACTTTTGCCCCCCTCCATCCCCTCCAACGACAGCTGTCATCCAAGTAGACGACGTCCCCAGGGCCGCCGTTTCCTCCTGAGTCGTTCGTTGGCCCGGGCCTGGAAAGGCTTCCATAACGTCGCAAGTTCCAGAAGCGCTCCAGGGCCCCTTGAGACCTTCGGGGAAGAGCTTGGAGGACCGCGTCTACTCATCTGGCCACACTTATGTCCTGGTCGAGGCAGGGTATGCCCAATTGCGCCCTCTGTCTGGCAGTGACTCCCTATCTTCGACGACTGTCACGCGATGGCTGGGAGCGGGGTTCTGAAAAGGGAGGCGGGGACAGAGGTACGGCGACGGACGGCTGCTCAGCAGCCCCAGTGGACGGGCCCAGGAAGGGCCCAAGGGGCTTGTCCAAGGCGGACGAGGAGAAGAGATCAGAGGGGAGCGAGGCGAGCTGCTGGAGGAGGGGGGAGGGGTGTTGACGTGCTGCAGGAGACGACTCGGCATGCAGGCTGCGCCTAACCATGGACCGTCCAGGCTCCCTGACATAATCCGATCCTGGCAGGATCCGATTTTCCTTCTTGGTACGGGGGCAACATCCTGGAGCAGCAGGGCGGAGCAGACCGGGGCAGGCACGGCAAGGGACGACGGCTGCCACCCAACCCCCGCCGCCGCCGGAGAGGTGCTCGCGGCCACGAAGGCCGAGTGGGAGGACGCTTCGGGCGGTCCGCTCCTCTCGAGAGGGGCCCTGAGGTCGTTCGCTGTTTTTTCTGCGATTCCTGGCTTCAGCGATGGGGTCTTTCACCCGTTTTCCTCAGGAACAATGTATATCCCATGCTAGAATCAAGGTTCGATGATAAGGAACCAGTACTCGAGGATCGAGAGATTCGGTACTTCATCGATGTTTTGTGCATCTAGGGACCTCCGCGATGTTCGAGGGTCGAGCATTCTCGGCCGTTGTTCGTATTGCTGGGTCCTCAGGAAGCCCCTGGTGGCCGTCGTTGAGAGTCCCTGAGAGGTCACTGAGCCTCACGGATTAGGACCAGCAGTTCGCCAGAAGTCAGTTTCCCAGCAGCCCCACATACGTCGCGCACTTCTCGGACTTGCTGTTCGGCACGCCTGCGGCAACCTTCACGGTCTGAGTGTGCCCGCCTTCCGTGTCCTTTCTGGCCGTCCTTCCCCGCGTTCCTTCAGTGCCTAGCTGTGCTCTGGCGGGTCCCGCCGCCGCTTTACCGCCGTTTGGATCTTTCACGGCCGCCGCCCAGGCCGCCCAGCAACAACAGTTTCCCAGCAGCGTTCATGGCAGGAGGCTCGGGCGGGGACACGGGTCATTCTTCCACAGCGGAGCTTGCGCGCCTGATCCTGCCGCCGTGATCTGCAAAGTCGGCCTCTTCTAACCTGGGCTGATTTGCAGTGCTGGGATATGTTTCCACCCGGCCCTCCTGGTGAAGACCGAAGTGTGGTCTCCCCACCAACCTGCGGTGGGACCGCGTTGCCGTTCCAGCCGGTGATGTGTTGCGCCACAGTGTTTTCGGGCCGCTCTTCCGGCTTGCGCAGCGGCGCTGCATGGTGCAGCATCGGCATTCACCCCTCTTCGACTGCGGTTGTGGATCAGCTTCGCGAGATCTTTCCATGTGGTTATTCGTGCGAACCGCACGCGCGCGAGCTGACAAACAGGGACACCGTCAAAGCATGTGGACGTTTCTACGGGATACCACACGGCTTGCACGGGGGCCATTTGCAGCTCTTCGGTCCACAGCTCGGACCGCATGCTGCTCTCCATGTCCAGGTGGGGCTTCAGAATGCGCAGCGTCATGCAGCCTCCCCGGCATGTGTGTACGCAGGCGCCCAACACGCCCAGCTCGCGGGGGCCAGGCGATCCGCCTGCGATTGCAGGCCGAGGTCTGCGCGGCGCGCCTCGAACTTTCTCCCCACGGGCGCGCCCAGGCATCTGGGCTGGCGGAGAGTGTCGCGCCCAGCTTGCTCCGCTGTTGCGTGCCCCCTCCCACTTCCGAACAAAAATACCGTGTCCGTGGCCTCGCAGGCCTCTTGCCATTTCCGTGTCCGTGGCCTCGCGGGCCGGGCCCTTGGGCTGCGACCCAGCGGGTACAGGGCGTTTTCTTCACGCGTGCCCCGCGCGGAACTTGTCCGTGAGGGTACGGAGCGTACGGGTGTGATCTGCTCGCCGCTAGTGAAAGATTTGCGTCTGGTTCCACAAGGTTTGCTGCTCGTAGGGCCATCCCCAGCGCAGTGGTTACCGAGGATGTCGCACAATCGCCAGTACGCCACCAACTCTTGCCGTACAAGTTGAACGCGTCTGGCCAGCGCTGCGCCCCTGGTTTACCCGATATCGTTCCAGAACTTGCGCATGCGGCGGTGGGCGAACTCCTGCGCGCTAGAGGCAGCTGGTCGGCGGCCAGCATGCTTGTCGAGGACGGTGTTGTGTTCCATCGGGCCGCTCGCGCGCCAGCGCCCGACGCATACACTCTGGCGAGGGCCTCCACGGGCGCGGGTCGCTTGAGCCGACATGGCTAAGGGCCAGGAGGAGGACGAGGAGGAGGAGGAACTCCAGGAAAAGGGGGAGGAGGAGGAGGAGGAGGAGGAGGAGGAGGAGGAAAAGGGTGGGTTCGCGCAGGCGCCTGAACGCCGCAAGCTTTTTCGAGGCGCGTTCCCAGTCCCACCCCGCCCATCCCTTGTCTGTCCACGTCCCTTGTTTTCAGGGGGAGTGGGGAAGTTGGCTGCGTTGTCCGCCAGAGCGCAATGCACATGTGGGCGTTAGGGGATCGCCCCTTCTTCTAATACCCTATCCTTCCCACCTTCATCTCGGGGAACAAACAATCCCGGGTGTGCCAGCGCGAAAAGTATCATCTCACCCTGGCCGATGCCTCTGGCAATTTGGGCTGAGGCATTCGGCCGAATTTGAAGAACGGTTGAGCGCAGTGGCTGGCCTTGGGCCGTGCGCCCTCGACGCCGCGCGGCGGCAGCTCCGCAAGGTGCTTCATGAACGCGATCTCTTCGGCCCGCGCCTGGCGCTTCAGGCGGCCGACACCGAGTTCGAGTGAACGATCGTGCAGGCGGCGGCGGCCACGGACATCACCGCTGAGGAGGCACGGCGGCCACCGAGGGATTTCGTGGACCAGGCAGTAGCTTGGGAGCGAGTGCGGAAGCGGCTGAGGGCACCCCGTGCCGTCCTCGAACGGGCCATCCTGGAGGACGCAGCGGCGTGGCTCGTGGCGGCGACCAACTGAAGAGCGCCCGGGGCCCTACCGGCGCTGGGGGCCCATGCGATGGCAGGGAACCGTTTCGCTCGGGCGTGCCACGCAGCAGCAGAGAAGAACCGCCGTGGGCTTGAGGCGCAGGAGTGGGCTCGGTGGGCGCCTCGCCTGGTCGCGCTGCTCAAGGAGACGGGGCACCCTCGCTGGAGCCGCCGCGGTCTTGCGTGAACCCGGGGCGGGCGAAGGACGGCATTACAGGCTTCGCGCGTATCAGCGCGGTGGAGTCGCGCTTGCGGGCCATGGAGACGATGCGCAAGTGGCTCTTTCGTGCAAGCGGGGCCCCGTGGCCTGTTACGATTGCGTACTTCATCGACAACGCGCGTACTTGGGCCGCCGAGCCGCGCGGGGCGATAGTGCCCAATCAGGCCCTGCGCGCCACGGCGTGGGCTAAGCGGGTGGTGAGCGTGGGCCAGAATGGCAGACTCCCCGCTTGGCCCCAGGCCCCGCCGGTCGTAGCGAACGGAGAAATGTTTTTCGCTGCTAGCAGGGGCCCGACAACAAGGGCAGCGCGGTTCCCCAGCGCGTTCATCGGGGCCCTTGAGCGGCTGGTCATGGACGAGGACTTCGCGAGGTACCTACGCGGGGTGGCGCGCGTGACGCCGCGGCCTGACGGCCACGCTGGGGCCGCGAGGACTACCGGAGCAGGGCGCAAGATGCCGGAGCTGCTGCTTGTGGCGCCCCGTGAGTGCTGCATGCTGGACCCAGCATGGGTACAGACGGGCTTCGATCTTTGGCAGGAAACCGTGAAACTCGATTGGGGCTACATCCTGCCGCGGAGCGACGACGAGGGGCAGGCAATTGCGGTGACCTGGGGGATGCCGAAGCCAGCGGTCTGCACGGGCCAAGTGGTCGAGCTCCTCATTCTCGAGGAGCTCGTCGTGATCTCCTGGATAGAGCACTTGGAGCGGGCGACGATCCCTTCGGCCACGCCAGCGATGGGGGCCCCGAAGAGCGACTACCCGGGCCGGTGGTCGTCAGAATGCGCGGACCCCCGCGCGCGGACATGCCGTGCCGCGCGGTCGTTTCCGAGCTCCAGCAGCGGATCGCAACGGCGCTGCGTTCCGGAAAAGGCCTGCGCGGAGCTGGGCGAGGCGGCCGCCATTCCAGACTCGGCGGACGGGCTGGTGTTGAGCAAGAATTTCTGGGTTCAGAATGGGGCGATCGTGTCAAGGGGTACCTGCGCGGCCCTCGATGTCTGCGCGGATGGGCCGGCGGCGGCGCGCGACGACGACGGGTGGCGGCCGCGGGCGACCCAGGGAGCCGCCGTCCAATCGATGGAGAAGTGGAAGGCGATGCGCCGCCGACGGGGGCCGCGACGCCCCCGCGAAGAGGGCAGGGCGCACAGGGCGGCGGCGACAGTGACTGCAGCAGGGGCGCCAAGGAGGTCCGCTTGGCCAGGCACCGCAAAGTCGGGGGCCGTGGCTTGGCGTCCGGCAGGTCGCTGCTGAACCCGACTAATTTCCACTGCGTGCAAGGAGCGCGACATGATCAGTCAGAAGTACAGGCGCCTCACCTCGGCCGAGATGGCGGCGGCGGCCGCCAAGAGCGAGGGCGAGGGGTCGGACAGGTCATCGAGCTCCTCCAGCTCCGATGGGTCCGAAGAGGCCGTCCGCGGCAGGGCTGCCGGCTGAGGGGGGCACCTGCGGCGGCAGGCTCCGCGGGACCTCTCGGGGCAGGAATGCGCTGGCCCAGCGGCAGATGCTGAGAGGCCCCGGGCGACCCATCTGGAAGGGGGCCCCGCCCGCTCGGGCACGAGCCGGTCTGGGGCCGCGCTCGCGCGCTGACGGAGCGCCAGCCGCGGCGCGGCCCGCAGGAGGCGGCCTGCCCGGGCGCCGACCGCGGGCTGTCCAGACTCGGCAGAGGACGGCCGCGCCCAGGTGAAAATGTTGTCAGCTGCTGAACGCGCGGGCGGCGCTGTGCCCCTGCGGCGCGACGAGCCCGGGCCTATCCCCCGCGCCGACTGACTCGGGCGAGGGCGCCGGGGAGTACGCCGCGGACGCGATCGACGTAGAAGCGACGGCCTGGATAGAGTCGCGCTCGGCGGCGGCGGCACCCACCGACGCGCGCGGATCGAGCAGCGGCAGAACGTGGAAGGCGAAGCCGACGTGCGGCAAATGGTTAAGCCGTTGCGCGCACATGGTCAGCAGTTGACGCGGACTTGCGACGTTGCGCATAGGAAGCTCGAGAAGGAGGCCCAGGCGGCGGCAAGACCTTACTTCGAGGCCAGGCAGATGGAGGTCGAGCGGGGCGACATCTGGGCGGGGGCGCTCATGGCGGTGTACTCAGCCTAGGAGGACGAGGCCCCGACCCCCTGACCCGAGTTTGGCCCAGCTCGGGGGCGATGCACTTCAGGGGGGGCAGCGACTGTCAAGGACGAGCCCCCACGAGGCCCAGACACGCTATGGAAGCGGATCGCGCTTATGGGCGCGTGTATTTTGATGCTCGGCCAGCGCCGCGCGAACAGGAAGGAGCTGCAATGCGGGGGCCCGCAGCAGCACGGGCGCGCCTGGACCGCTGCTCGGGGGGCACGTCTGGAGCCTCGTGGCAAGGAACGCGCGGGGCGACGCGGCCGCGCGCCCGGCATGGGGCCAGGTGCTGCAGCACGAGCTGAAGAGGCCTAGCAGCTGGCGCAGCAATCATGCACGCAGTCCCGCGCAGCTCTCTGGCAGGCACGCGGCGGGGGGCCAGGCCGCGCGCGGGGCCCGCCTCGCAGACGCCAGACGGAAGATCGGCGTCAGGCCCACCTCCAGACTCGAACAAGTGTTGCTCCCTTTGCGCGCGCTCACACTGTTGCGCGCAGGGCTACCCGCAGTGCGACTGCAGGGGGCCAGCTCGCGGGGCAGACGTGCGGGGCGAGGGCATCTCGGGCCCGACGCCCCTCGCGCCGCCGCTGCCGATCCAGGGCCCCCCATGGGGCGACCGGGCGCTGCCCGCGCCTCTGGGCAGGGGCGGCAGACAATGCTTGCGCCAGGACGACGTTGGCCGCGCGGAGCGAGGGGGACCGGCGCCCCCGCTGCCGCCGCTGGCAGAAACAGGCCCACCGGCTTGGAGCGGCCGCGTTCTCGCGCCATGGGGCTCCGCGCGAGGATCTCTTTCCAATCCTTGCTCGGTTGGATCTGAAAGCGGCCGGGGGGCCATCCATCTAGCGGCTGGGAGGCGGCCGGGCGGAGCGCGACCAGGAGGCGTCTGCGCGGCGGCCAGTTTCCCAGCGGGCAATGCAAGGTGCGGCGATGACCGGAGCTTAGCAACAACGTTGAAGGGAGATCGGCTCAGGGGGCAGCGAACGGAACCCCATGCGCCTATTCATCGCCGACAGGTGCCCTATGGCCCCCCCCAGGATACTCCGAATTTGTTTCATCGCCGATTTCGACTTGATGTTTCTGCCTTTTCGCTGGTCCCCCCTTTGCGTTGTCCATGATGGGGCGGGGCAGTTTCTGGGCGAGGAGCAGGCAGGGGCGTGCTGCGGTTGCGCTCGTTGCGCGGGCCTGGCCGCCCATGGCGAGGGCGCTCTGGGGAGGGTTTTTTTTTAGCGTGGTAAAATTACAGCGTCGGTTGCCAAGCTCGCCCCCAGACGTCGTCCGCTCGCGGTTTGTCGGGGACGCGACGCCGCTCGGTATGCTTGCCAGCTCCCTTCCGGGAGCAAAACAAGCATGTAAGTCATATGTTTTTTTTGTTTCTGGGCGTTTCTGCCTTATGGCCCGCTCCCGCGGGGTCCCACACTGCGGCGGGGACGGGGCGAGAAACAAGTGTATGATTCACATCTACATATGTACGGCTCCCGCCCGTTCTCTGGGATTTTTTCGCCGCGGAGCTTGCGGCGAAAGTAACGTCCCGACGAAGTCACTCCGGTGCTGTTGCTCCTGATGCTCCTTCTCCTCCTCGTTATCCTCATCCTTCTCCTCCTCCTCCTTCTCCTCCGTACCCCCCTCGTTCTCCCCATTATCCTTTCTTCCTCCTCCTCCTGCTCCTCGTTTTCCTCCGTCCTCTCCTCGTTCCCCTCCTCTTCCTCCTCTTTCCCTCCGCCTCCACCCCCCTGCATTTTGGCCTCCTCTTTGAAAGCTCCAGAGAAGACCAGCAAAAGCAGCACACATAAGAGAAACAACGCGATTCTCATCCCTACCCGCGCCCGGATCATCCACGCGGGTCCGTTGGCGCTTGGCGCGAGGAGCTCGGCAGATGCCTCGAGGTCGGCGACGGCCTGCAGCGCCTGCGTTTCCGCTGCCTGTCCAGCGGCGAGGACGTCTTCGGCTACGGCTACGTGGATGGTTCCACAGGACCCTCCGTCTCTGCCCCCCCCTTCTCCCCACTCCGTCCTCCCTTTCGTTCCCTCCTGCTCCCCGCTCTTCTCGAGGGGGAGAAACGGCATAGACACACGTTCGGAGGGCCACGCGGGTTCCTTGGCTTGGCGTTGGCGGCAGTTCAGGCGCCGTCCCTGGCGCGCTCTGGGTGTAGCGCGGATCGACGAAATTCCCGCGCACTTTTTCGTTTTGTCTTTGGGGGGGATCCGCCCAAGACCGTTCTCTCGCAGCCTGGCTACTGCCCGAGCTGGTGTTAGCGTTGCACAATTGGAATGCTCTTGTCATTAATATAAGAAGATTCCAAAAGTTTTTCGTTGCAGAACGGGGCCGTCTCCCATCTCTGTAATTGTTGAACATGCTCTTGAATCCTGGGCCGTTGGATTAGAAATAGTCCCAAGGGGGAGCCTCATTTCGAACACGACACGCCCTCCATCCGTGTAGCCGATGGAAATGTTGAACATGCGCGTGCGCGGCGTCCACGCGAAAACCCCAAGTTGAAAGCCACATGCGCCCCATCGGTGAATCGATCAGTCACTTTTAGCTTCCAGACAAGAAAATATGAGGGAGCAATGCGAACGCCCAGCTCGACCCAGCGACACGTCTGGTGGAGCGGCAGTGAGGAGGCGTCTACAAGAAAGACAATCAAATTTGCAGCAGGAGCAGGAGGGAAGGGTGTGGGGGGTCGCAGGAGGCGGTGGGGGAAGACCGGGATGGAGGAGGAAGGGGAGGAGAAGGGGAGGCGCGGGGGTGGGAAAGGGCGAACAGCCGGCAGGACATGGAGGTGGAGAAGAAGGAACAAAAAGGGACGAGGATAGAAAGGGGGAGGGAGGGGATGGGGAGGGAGGGAGGGAGGGACGAGGACAGCAGGGGGGGGGATGGGCAGGATGCGGGGCGGTCGCTCGCCTCCCCTTCCGCACGCCGTCCGTGTCCAGCGCCGGCCCCCTCCTCGGCAGCCCTCTCTCCCTCCGCGGTGGGGCCGAGGGCGGGGGCGGAACAGCGCAGGGCGGAGGGCTGGAGCCACGGGCGCTGGGTGGATGGATGGATGAGTGGCCCATCCGCCCCGTCCCCTCTCCCTCGACGCCCTCCTCCCTGCTCCTCGCTCTGCGCTCCCTCGCCCCGCCGCTGCGTCCTCCCTGGTCCGCCTCGTCACGCTCGTCCGTCCTCCTGCGTGCCCTCTCCCCCTTGCCCCCGTCCTTATCCATCCGCCTTTTTCGTCAGATTCCGTCGTCCGATTCCTCTCCTTACCGTCCTCATGTTTTTTCACCCTGTCTCGCCTTCCATCGTCAGTTTTCGTCATCGCTGTTGTTTCTCCTGTCCTCTTTCCTCACCCGGCATATTCTATCGACCACCCTCTTCATCTTGAACCCTCCTTCTCCGCCTCCTCCTCCTCTAATCACCTCGCTCATAACACATCCTCGCCTTTCCTGGCCCACATGTCGTTATCCTCCGCCTCGTTCTCATTCGCACTCAAGAAGGTAGAGCCTACAAACCTTTGCAAGACTTCCAGGCGTTCATTCGGCCGAAAACGGCAAGCCAGCACGACAACTATCACGACAATCATGCACAGCACAAGCATGTGACACATGTATGTGTGTCTGTTGCGTGGGGAGATAGGGCGGGTTAGTCGATTCCCGTTGCCGGTCCCACATTTGGAGGCCTGGACGATTTGCGCGGGTCTCCCCTTCTGTATCTTCTTGCCGTGCAGGTGCGCAATTAACTAGTCCGCGTCCCGTTCTAGCGCGCCCTCGTTGTGCCCCACATCGCTTCGAACAACAGGTTGTTGTTGATATAGCAGGGGTCATGTTTCATTCCAACTCCTTGTTCCACTCTGTGTGCAACTTTTTGCTCGGGATTGCGCACTGGTCCCTTCGATGTTGCGGTCGGCGGGGCTTTTTTCGTGTGTACAGGTATTGTTCGTCGAGGCTGGCCTTGGCGGGAGCCTATGGGTCTCTTCTCCAAACTCACCGTGCGTCTTCATTTCGCAGATTCCATCTTCATCCTCGTCCTCCTCTTCCGCCACATTCTCTACCTCCTCCGAAACTCCCCCTCCTCCTCATACTCCGTATCCTCGTCCCCTCCTGAGCTTTCAGCTAGACGGCTCGCACGCTGCTGCAATGCCGGGTCCGACCGACCCCTCTTCCCTCTTCCTGTCTTTCGTTTCCCCCTCCCCGTTCTCTTCCTCTTCCCCCTCCGCCTCTTCCTCAGAGTCGACCTCTGCACCTCTCCTGGAGCGCGCTCCCGCAAGGGTCGGGAGGGACGCTGTGGCGACGAGAGGGCCTCCCCAAAAGAAGCCCTCATAGGCGGCGCGAGACGTCGGCATCCTCCTTCCTCCCGCGCGTCCCACGGGTCCTGTCGACACGTGGTCCCCGGAGCCCTCGCCCGGTTCCCCTGGCCAGCTCCCTCCTCCCCAGCGTGGTCGTCTGACCGCGCCCCCGGGCGGGGCACGAGAGCCGGGCTCCGGAGGGCCGAGGCCGGCGAGGGCACCGCACCGCGGTGCGGAAGAGACCACGGCACCACGGGTCCGAGGGGCCCCCTTTCCCGTGGCCTGGTGCCCGTGCGGCTCCCCTCCGCCCGTTTTCTCGTGTGTTTGGGCCTCCTGGGAGGCCCTCGTCGCCACCGCTGGGCTCGCCCTGAAGCCCTCTTCAGGACGCGCCCTGGAAGAAGTCCAGGGAGTTGCAGCGTATCGGTACCTTTGGTTTTCCTCTGCTTGGAGTCTCCCGTCTGTCCCTTTCCGCCTGCACGCCCGCCCGCCTGCTTTGTGCCACTGGCCCTGGCGTCCCGCCTGCGCGTTGTTCGTCGTGTGCTTGCCTCTTGCTCCCTTTTTCCCTCGCCATCGCCGCGCAGCACACACTGCCAGGAGTCAGCGTTGCCATCTTTGGGCCTGGTAGGTATGAGTCAAGCGACGGTGCATGTCTCTTCCGCCCCGCGTCCTGCCCCTCAGCCTGGCCGCCCCGCGCGCTCCCCGCTGCGCCGCCGCGTGGGAGTAGCCCCCATCTCCCCCAACCTTCCGCGGCCGCCCTCTTCTTCCCTTCCCCCCCTCTTGCGTGCGGGACAGTTCGCCACTCCTTACCCCGGTGTTGCTCCACGCGCGAGCGGATCGCCTCTGCCGCGCCGCGACGGGAAGGAATTCTGCCCCTTCCCGCGGGCCCGCCCAATCATGGGGGGGGGTCGTGGGGGCGGTGACTCGCGGGGGGGCGCTGCCCGGGAGGATCCGCGGCGCTGAGAGTGAACGGGCGCAGCGCGAGGGCCTCAGAGGGCCTTGGCCGCCATCGATCGGGAGATCGGTCGGGAGGTCGAGCCTGCCCCAGCCTTGGTTGATGCTGAAGACGCCGGGGGCGTCTTTTACAGGCTCCCGTTCTTCCAGTCTCGGCCAGCCGAAGCGGGGAAAGGCGGCAGCCCAGAGCAGAAGAGCAGCGGCAAGACAATGCGGAACCGAACCGAACACGGCGCGAACGAGCATCCCCGAACGGAAAACCATCGACCCCCAAAGCGGGAAAAGTGCGATGTCGAAACGGGCGAAGAGACGCCCCCCGAGTTCCTGCCATCATTGAATGCCCTGGCACCCGGCACTGGAGTGTCACCGACAAGTGGTTGGCGTTGCACCGGCGCGGTTCGCCGGGGGAACTCGGTCGCGGCCGGCGGGTTTGGAGACGCGGTGCCAGTCCGCGCCCGGTCGTCCGGCCGGTGGCGCGCTGCGAGGAACGGTGAAACGTAAGGTTCGAGTTCGCCGGAACTCGGGTTTGCCGATGTTTTTTGACGAGCCCGTCCTGGATTTTGGCGGTCCCGTTCCCGTGAGTTGTTTGCAGCGGGAGATCGTCCCTATGTTCAGATTGGGTCTCGTGTCCTGACGGCCGCGTCGGGCCAACCTGAATCCCCCGAGTCCGAGTCGCGCGTCTTCCAGAGAGGAGCGAGTAACGAGGGGGGGAATTCGGTAGCAAATCACAGGAGCCTTGCATACCCTCGCAATTCCGTCGTTAATGTGCGCTGGCGTCGATTAGAGGTTGGTAGTCGATGGTTTTACCCCGATGTAGCGTTGATGTGGCGTCGATGTAGCGTCGACGTAGCGTCGATTAGCGTCGAGCAGCGTCGATTCGCAGGAACCAGCAAGGTGGGATGGGAGGCTCCCGCGAGTTGCCGCAGAAGAGTGGCCCAGGATCGGGCATCGAGGTCACAGTCAGAGCGATGGGGCCGAGCGGCCGTTCACTGTCCCTGGGCGCGTGACTGAAGTGGGGTTCTGTGTTGCGGCTTGCTGTTTCATTGCGTTCGCATTCCGAAACAAGAGTTATTGTTGATCCGCCCCTCCAGGGCACCTGGCTGTTTTCAATTGAAGTGCCCCTCTCGGGGCTCGCATCCTATTCATGATCAGAGAAAATATTGCGCCTCAGACTGTGTTGCTGACCTCTGGGTTACAACAACAGCAGCTCCGCCTGATACGTTCTGACATGTTACCCAGCAATCGCGCTCTCGCGTGGAACATCCTCTCCCTCGACACGCCTCGTCCCTACCATCCTCCCTCCTTCCCCGCACTCCTTTCCTCCTAGCTGTTTTGTTTGTCCTGTCTCCATCCTCGTCCCAAATGCAGGGGCTCCGCCAACTACACTTTGCAGGTAAACACCATATCCCTGTGAAAAACATGTTCAGTCACAGGCGAGCAGTCGAAAGCGAACAGTCTTACGTCGTCCTTGTCCGCGACTCCCCCGCGACCCATCCCGCGACCCACCCCGCGACCCACCCTGCGACCCACCCGCGACCCATCCGCGACCTGCACCGCGTCCACCCACCCCCTCACTCTTATCCACAGTTGGGTGGGCTGTGGTATCTAAGTGGCTTATGCCATTCCGCCGACCCCCAGCGGAGTAGGGACGCCCAGGGCGTTCGGCAGGCTATGTTGGAGCTGGAGTGGCTGGATGCTTTATTCACGCCCGCGAGGGTGGAGGCGACGGAGGAAGAGGAGGCGGAGGAGGAGGAGGAGGAGCAGCCAGAGCGGAGGTGGAAAGGATGAGAGGAGGGCGGAGAGAGGAAGGAAGTCTTCACGCTTCGCGTATCCCCACCAGCCCGTTCAGAAACCCTGCCCATGAGAGCTGACGGGAAAAAGGGACGAACAGACACATATAGTGAAACAAAGCGGGCAACCAGGATGAACAGAGAGATCTTTGGGAGGGCCTCTTCGGGCCATTGCTGAGGCCCCCGGGGAGCGTGGGGAGGAGGAGGAGGAGGAGGAGAGGAGGAGGCGAACCGCCTCTCGGGGCCCTCGTGGGACACTCTTCGGTGGACGCTCTTTGGCGCTCTTGGAGCCGTCTTCGGGCCCTCTTGGGGCTCTCTTTGGGCTCTTCTGGGGGCCTTGGAGGGCGTCTTGGGGACATCTTGGAGGCCATCGATTAAAGGGAGGGACTGGTATTTAGGCCCCCCTCTGGGGCCGTCTGGGGGGCATCTCTCCTCCCTCGAACGTTGGCCTGTGAGTCGTGCGACGTGCGCACAACCCGTGCAGTTTGCGAAACAGTTGGCGGGCGGCGCATGCAGTGTCGTTGTTTGTGCACGCGTGGGCCAGCACCTCTTCTCACCTGATGCTGATGAGTTGGGTACGTCACAGGGTAATTATTAAGAGGACGATTGGATGAGGAGTTGCTGTTGCCCCCCCCTCCCCCCGCAAAGTACGGGCGGGGGAAGGGGAGGCGGAGTTCAATGAAAGTTCTCCCAGATAGACAACGAAGTCGCACTCTGTAGCAGTGCTGGCCACGCAACGGGCGCAGCCGTCGGCTTGCACGCAATGTCGATGCAGGGCGCAGGTTGGGCCCTGCCCCATGTACAACCAACGCGCCTAGTAAGGACGCGCGCCTTCATCTAGTGTGCCCCTGCGCCCTTGCCTTTGCGACCCGTCCTCTGCCGGTTTCACTGGTCGCCGGCCGCCCAACAAATCCCAAGTTCGGCCTCCAAGGGTCTTGCATCCTTGCCACCCGTCCTTCATACACGTTTTGATTGTACGGGCGCAGAGAGCGCAGTGTGCAAGGGAGGGAGGCGAGGGTCTGAGGATGTGGCGGTGGCAGGACCCGATTGCGGCACACTGGCTACATCTGGGGACACTCCTGGCCACCATGTTGGCATCGCTCGGGCGTGTGCATTTTTGCCGACGAGGGCCATCGAGGAACATATTGGATCAATGTGCAGAAACATAAACGCACGACGTCAAAGCATCACGGAGAATGGGCGTCCGAGCGGTGGCGAGCCAAGCCTATTATGCTTCAGGGCGGTCTTCGTGTCGACTACACGTCGGACCGCCGGCGCTCGCATTGCAGATCATCGGCGGGCCCGCCCACTCGTGGGTGCAAGCGCCGCTTTGGGCGCCCGTGCCCCGCATCTCGGCCATCGGCCGAGGGTAAGCTACGGACGCGCAATATTCGAGGCGTCCGTTGGACATGGGTGCCTTCTGCCAAAGCACGGGACACAAGAGGGAGCCATTGTCGTAACAGGATTCGCGTCGGAGTGGCATGCCCTATTTGAGGCACACTCTCACGCTGGTTTGCCTCTACTTTGCCTGGGATGCGCGCTCGCGCTTGCGGCGCTTGCCCTCCTTGCAGAGCAGGTCGTCCAAATACTGTTTGAAAGCTCCAACCCTCTGTTCCTGGGGCTTGGGCGCCGCCTTGCCATGTTTGTGACCGCCCTTCTCTTCGTCGGAGTCGTAACTGACGACGAAGCGGTTCGCGTCCTTCTGCTTGGGGCGGCCCTCGACCTCGCCTGGGCACGCTGCAGACGGGTAATCGCTCAGCCTCCGCCGCCACATGCTTGAGGATCTCCAGTTCCCTTCTTGGTGAGGCCAGGCTCGACGCCGGCTGAGCAGCCCTCGCTTGTCCTGCGGCGTCGCTGGTCTGCTGACGCTGCATCTTGCTCATTGCTGCCACGGTGTCGCTGGACGTGCGGCGCTGAACCTGCTGGATGAGCTGCTAGTGCGCTTCTCCATTCCCTTAAGCTTGTCCAACTGTGTTGCTGACCATCGTGTGGTGACGCATTGTGTCCAAGCCCGGGGGGGGACCGGTCGGCGTGCGCGCGCCCCACTATGACAGGATATGGCTGAGGAGGAGGAGGAGGAGGAGGAGGAGGAGGAGGGCAAGGGTGGAGGAGGAGGAGGAGGAGGTGGTGGAGGAGGTGGAGGCGGACGAGCAAGGTGGGGGAGGAGAGGGAAAGAGGAGGAGGAGGAGGAGAAGGAGGAGGAAGAGGAGGAGGAGGGGGGCGCAATGATGGGGAGGAGGAGGAGGAGGAGAATCAGGACGGTGAGGCGGATCAGGATCAGGGGGGGGGTGGGCGTCCATGGAGGCCTCCAGGAAGGCGCGCGTGCTCCCAAGGTGGCGGTGCTGCTGAACCAGGTGGGCGATGGTCGCTCGAGGCAGGCGGGGCGCGAGGTCGGGCCGACCTGCCGCTCGTCGTCCGTCGTCGCCGCGTTCGCCGTCGTGAGTTGGCGTCGCCGTCGGCATCGGCGTCGTCGTCGTCGGCTCGAGATTCGAGGATAAAGAGTCTGAGCAGTTCTTGGCCACGGTTGGGCCTCCGGAGGCCTCCCGAGGCCCCTGTAGCCCGCGCAGGGGTCGGTCGATCGGCGTCGCCATCGGCGTCGTCGTCGCCGTCGGCGGTCGGTGTCGCGGGCGTCGTCGTCGGAGTTCCTGGACGGGGAGCGGAAGGAGGATGAGGAGGCGCGCGGGGGGGAGGGGAGCGGAGGAGGAGGAGGGGGGGTGAGGGAGAGGGAGGAGCAGGGAGGACAAGCGAGGACGAGGGAGGAGGAGGAGCAGGAGGAGGAGAAGGAGGAGGAGGAGGAAGAGGAGGAGGAGGAGAAGCAGGAGCAGCAGGAGCAGCAGGAGTATGAGGAGCAGGAGCAGGAAGAGGATGGGGGCGATATTCGGGGCAAACGGGAGTGTCAATGCCGTCGTGGGCTTCTTATTTCAATCGAAGAAACAAAAAACGTGCGCATGCGCGCCAATGTCAAAACGGCTGGAGGATCGGTTCAACAATCGCCGTCTGTCGCAGTCTCTCCTTCCGACTCGTCATGTTCTTCCTTCTCCTCCTGTTCCCTGAGGCCTTGGATATGAACAGATCGAGTGACTCAGCTGGACGGGTTTGTTGACCCCCCGTGAGGCGGTTGAGTTTTGCCGCTTGCCGAGCGCAGCCGTGAAGCCCAATTCCTGGGAGCCAGGGGGCCTGTGCACAGCGTGCCCGAGCAATTCCTTTGGCTTTGATGGATTCGTCAATTCGGCCTCACCCTCCTCGTGCTCACCCTCCTCGTCCTCCTTCTCGTCTTCAGACTCGTCGTCGCCGTCGTCGTCCTATTCTTTTCGTCCTTGCCGCCCTCTTGCTCATCGTCCTCTACAAGTACATCAGATGAATACTACTATCATCTCTTCCCTGACACTGTCCAGAGAGACTCCGGTCCTCTCCGCGTATTGTTCCCAACCGTTCTGTGGTGTGGAGTATTCGTTTTGACGAGACAGCGCCCCGCGCTCCACTCCTCCTCCTCCCTTTTCCTCCCCCTCCTCCCCCTCATCCTTCCTCCCCCTCCTTGCATTTGCTCTCCGCATGTTTCTGTCTCGGCACACCCCATCACACGTTTCGTGGCCCCTTAGGGGTCTCTAACTAAGATAGGGAGTTCCAATAAGGTCCCAGTGGCGCAGTTCGCATGGCGGCTCCGCCCCATTTTGGCGCACCCCTCACACGCTTCGCGGCCCCGGGCTCCAACTAAGGTCCCAGTGGCGCAGTTCGCATGGCAGCTCCGCCCCTTTTCGGCGCACTCCTCACACGCTTCGCGGCCCCATAGGGACCTCCTCTTCAGGTCTCAATGGCGCAGCTTGCAAGGCGGCGCCGCCTAATTTTGGCACACCAGCACACCCCTCACACGTTTCGTGGCCCCATAGGGAGCTCCAGCCAAGGTTCCAGTGGCGCAGCTCGCATGGCGGCAGTTCCAACGCGTCCCAGTGGCGCAGTCCGCATGGCCCCGCCGTCTTCTTTCTCTCGGCCCCGTGGACTCTGGCCCTGGGCCGTCGGCTGTCAGGCGCGCTGCTCCTTCGGCCGACATGGCCCAAGCGCGATCCTGGATTGCGGCCGCCACGATGTCGGGAACGGCAAGAAGGAGGACGACGACTGGTGGCTGGAGCTCTACGCGCTGCCCTCGCGCGCCACGCGCCACGAGGAGCTCCTGCTCATGCAGGCCCCGCGCATCGAGTTCTGCCTGGCAGAGCCGCCAGAGGGCTTGCGGAAGCAGTTGGAGCAGCTTGCTGCGCGCACGAGGCGGCGCAGAAGGGAGGCGACGGCCCTCGCCAGGCAGCTGGGCTTCACCGAGTTTATCCGCGAAGCTTGACTTGAGGAGCGACCCGCCCGAGCCTCGCCGACTCTCGACGGTCTGACAGTTTGGCCTCGCGCCGCGGGCGGCCCGCGCGCGTCGCTGGGACCCTCTCGGGGCGACCAGCGCGCGTCGCGGGAAGTCCGCGCTGCTGCCCGGCGTTTCGCTCGCCCCCGTCGTCAATTTGCCCAGCGGCCAGAGACTTTCCCGCTACCGGCCGGCCTGCTAGTTCTCTCTGCTCCGCGCAGGCGGCCACACGCGCGCGTCGCCGGGACCCCTTCGGGCCGACCAGCGCGCGTCGCGGGGGCTCCGCGCTGCGCCGCGCCCGCGGTCGCGGGCGCGACCCCGGCGCGGGCCGCGCCAACGTGGGCGTCGACGTCTATGCGTGTAGACTCGCGCGCGCAGACTCATTCACCATCGAGCTCGCTCGCGCCCACGCTCGCGCGCTCTCGCTGTTCGCCCACTCTCGCGCGCAGACCTATCGCCTTCGTTCGCGTCGCGCGCCCCGCCGCGCATTTCGGCGCGCCCCTCGCGCACCCCATGGCTCCGTAGGAGGCGCGGGCGAAGATTGCATTCAACATTGTGACTCGTACTGCTACTACTACGAGTACGATTGTTAATGCGACTGGTAGATCTACAAGGACCACTACTACTACTACTGCTGTTGCTTCTGCTGCTCCTGCTTCAACTTTTACTTCTACTACTCCTGCAACTACTACTACTACTACTACTACTACTACTACTACTACTACTACTACTACTACTACTACTACTACTACTACTACTACTACTACTACTACTACTACTACTACTACTACTACTACTACTACTACTACTACTACTACTACTACTACTACTACTACTACTACTACTACTACTACTACTACTACACAACCACTACTCGTTCTACGACTACTTGTACAAGTACTATACTCCTACTCATACAACCATTGCTACTACGTCGCCGTGCGATTGCGCCTACCACCACGATTACGACGTCGACAACGAACCAGGCGACGACGATTATTACCAGTGCTACCAGTACTATTCGTACTTGCAGTACGAGTCGTACGAGTAGTAGTAGTAGTAGTAGTAGTAGTAGTAGTAGTAGTAGTAGTAGTAGTAGTAGTAGTAGTAGTAGTAGTAGTAGTAGTAGTAGTAGTAGTACTAGTAGTACTAGTACTAGTAGTAGTAGTCGTAGTAGTAGTCGTAGGTAGTAGTAGTAGTAGTAGTAGTAGTAGTAGTAGTAGTAGTAGTAGTAGTAGTAGTAGTAGTAGTAGTAGTAGCGACGATCACTTCTACGACCGTTCTTTCTCATAGTAGTATTTTTATTACTACCACTACCACTACCACGACTATTACTACTACTACTACTACTACTACTACTACTACTACTACTACTACTACTACTACTACTACTACTACTACTACTACTACTACTACTACTACTACTACTACTACTACTACTACTACTACTACTACTACTACTACTACTACTACTACTACTACTACTACTACTACTACTACGACTACTACTACTACTACTACTACTACGACTACTACTACTACTACTACTACTACTACGTTTTCTTCTTCTTCTACGACTACTACCACCAGTACTACTACGAATACGACTACTACCAGTAGTAGTACTACTATTTCTACTACTACTATGACCACTACTACTACTACTACTACTACTACTACTACTACTACTACTTCTACTACTACTACTACTAGTACTTCTACTACGACTACTACTACGACTACGACGACTACTACTACTACTACTACTACTACTACTACTACCACTATTACCAGTACTGGTGCGACCACGACCACCATTAATTACTACTACTACAACTACTAGTACTAGTACTAGTACTACTACTACTACTACTACTACTACTACTACTACTACTACTACTACTACTACTACTACTACTACTACTACTAGGACGACTACTACTACTAATATGTCTATTACCAGTACTACTACTACTACCACACTTTCTCATTACCACAAGGGTTATAACTACTACGACTACTACTTCTACCACTACTACAAGAATGCCACTGCTACTACATGCCGAGTACGTCCTCCCGGAACAAGGCGCGGACGCATTGGCGGAAGGCTGTCGGAAGCCAGCATGTTAGGTCTATGAGAGAGGTGGCTTGGCAGGTTCGCTGGCAGGTTTTCACCAGATTCACATGGTGTTTATTGTCTTAAGAAGCATGCTCCATAAGAGCTGCAGTATCGTCAGTGTGAAATCTGCGCCCTTGGCCGACACTGTTTCGACAGCGTTGTGTCTGTATTGTTTGTTCAAAAGTGCCCTCGCATATTAACTAAAGCCAGAGTGTACGATGATTTGTTGTGAAAGTTGTGCGAGGCACGCACATCTATAGACTGTCACATATGTAGTGTGATATGTTCCGATGTGATCATCGCAGGGAAGTTCACGCATGATGCCGTGATTCATGTAAAGGCAGATGGGCGCATGTACGGGGTGGCGGAAGGTTGGCGGAAGGCTTCCAGAAGGAATGGGGAAGCCAACCGTCAACATCATCGAGGCGCATATACCTGGTGGCGGAATGTTGGCGAAAGGTTTCCGGAAGAATTGCGGAAGCCAACCGTCGTTATCAAATGTGTTGGCGGAAATTCGCAGAAGGTCGGCGGAAGGATGCGGAAGTAAAACACAAGATGGAAATGCGTTTTGGTTGGGTCTTTCGCCAGGCTAATTGCTGTGTGTTTGTTCAATATGGTCCTCTCTGGTTCTTCCAAAATGTCTCTCCCGCTGCAGCGCCGCCCTCATTTCCGCGCTTCAGTCATTCAGAATCGCGTTCCCGTTGCAGCGTTGGCCTCGTTCCCGCGCCTCCGGACGGCACGTGACATTCGAAAGGGTTCACATCGGGTAGGCACGTTTGCAGAGGACATGGAACCAGCATCCTTGCTTGTCGTGTTCTCTCGTAGACGGGCCACTTACCCTCCAAACCATCCGGTGCCATGCTACGGCATGCAATGCGATGTTGTGTTGTGCACCGATGTGCGATGCCATGACTTGCATTGCTATACTTTGTGATGCAATCCTTCATTACGCAATGCCACGCCATGCTATGCTATGCTATGCTCTGCCGTGCTCTTCGACGCCATGCTTTTGCATCCGTCGCGTACCTCTTGGGATCATTGCCCTGCTCGACATCCGACTGTGGGAATATGTTGGAGATCTACGCCACGGTAAGGGATAGGAGGGAGGGGGAGGAGGGAGGACGTCGGATGTGACCTTCGCGCACCTGGCTTGTCTTCATCCCCTCCATCCCCCCCCCTCCCTGCCTCCTCTCTCTCCTCTCCCTCCCTCCCTCCCTCCTCTCCCTCCGTCCTCTCTGCATCCGTCATCGCTGGGACGGCTCTCCTGAGATAGCAGAGGTTGGCGTGGCCAAGACCGTGGATGCTGCTTTCTCTTCCTGGTCCCTCTCTGGGCCCTCTTATGTCCAGGTTTGGGTTGGAGGGTTGAGCAGTGTCCTGTGGCACTCCCATGCTGTCTCGTGCTGTCTCGTCCGCCTGAAGTGTCCAGTCCAGCCCCTGCATCCGTCCTTCCCTCCTCCCTCCTCCGACGCTCGATAGTACCTCCCTCCCCCCCTTCCTCCCCTCGCCGCACCCCTTCGCCGACGACCACGGCGACGACGACGATCTGTCAGTGGCGACGGCCGAGAGCCGACGACACCGCGCCCTTCGAGAGGTCCTGGCCGCCGTGGTTGCCGAGCTCGGGCTCGCGCCCGCGTGGCACCTGGACGCGCCGCACGGCTGGGGGGGCACCGCGGGAGGCCCGCCACCACCGAGATGGGCGTCGCCGCCGTCGGAGTCGCCGCCGCCGCCGCTGTCGCCGCCTATACGGCACAGTCGGCTTCGCCGCCGTCGTCGCCGTCGTCGCCGTCGCTGGCGCCAGCGTCGTCACTGCCGTCGTCGCCGTCGGCTCAGCTTGAGGGCGGGGAGGTTCTGAAGTGGAGGGAGTTCCGGAGGGTTTTTTCCTCCCCCGCGAGCTCTCCTGGAGCCCTCCCCAGGAGCCGTCGACAACGACTCGTCGGCATGGAAGCAGCTGTCCCTCGAGAGTGCGCCTGGGTCTGGGGCCCGCTTCCCTCGCGTCAGGTCGGCTTCCCTCCCTCCCCCTCCTCCTCCTCCTCCTCCTCCTCCTCAACCCCCTCCTCCTCTTCCTCCTCCTCCTCCTCAACCTCCTCCTCCTCCTCCCCCTCCTCATCCTCCTCCTCCTCCTCCTCCTCCTTCTCCTCCTCCTCCCCTCCTCCTTCTCCTGTAGGTTGTCAAAGCTCAGCCAGCAAACTGTCGAATAAGAAGCATTTTAATATTTGGTTGGCCTCCGAGTGCCTTGGCCCCCCCAGAGAGCAGCCCCAGCAGCAGCAGATTGCGGCGGGTACTAGGCTTGACCACCCTTCCCAAAACCCTGTGTTTTATGAGCCCTACTGGATTTGTTCGAAGTGCGGGTGCAGAACTCTCTTGGGTAGGGGCCACCTCAGAGGCCTCGCGGAGGAGTATGTATAAGTGTCAGGACGGGCGAACCCCGTCAAGGATGGGTGCCTGGGTGTCATCACGCGTGGCGAACGGCCGCCCTCTCAGATAGGGCGGCCGAGGTGCCAAGTAGGCGCGCTCCCCACCCGGGGTCTGCGTCGCCGCCCCCCGGGGCCCTGCAGGCCTGGGGTGGGGGGGCCTGCCCACTTTGGCCCTGCTCGAGGCCTCTTTGACGTCCTCCTGCGGCTCTGACCCTGTCAGATTGGGAAAGCTCTTGGGAAAGCTCCTCCCCTCCTCCTTCTCCTCCTCTCCCTCCAGGCCTCTCTTCCCTCGCGTCGGGTCGCGTCGCCGCCGCACCGATCTTCGAGGATCGTGGGGTCTCGCAGGCCGTTGTAGGGTGCATCATCGACCCTCTCGGGGCCTACGTAATCGGGGAACCCGTTGTGCGTCCGCGTGGGGGGGGGTCGCCTCCTCCGCGCGGGCGGCCGTTGTCGCCGTCGTCCCGCCGTCCCGTCGTCGTCGTCGTCGTCGTCGTCGTTGTCTACGTCGTCGTCCTGCTCCACCTGCTCCTGCGCGTCTTCCGCCCCTCGGATGAGGCTAAGACGAAGATAAATCCGTTCCAGAGTGGTCCAGAACGCTCTCGGAGCGTTCCGGAACGCTCTAAGAAGGCCGCAGCGCCTGAGACATCCTCCAGAGCCGCCGGATCTCAGACATTCTCGATTTTTTCTCACCCGATTCTATCCTCGTCCTGGCTTCGTCTTACGTTCCTCCCTCTCCCTCCACAGTTAAAGATTATGTGTGCAAATCGCCTCTTTCCATGGACCCCGTCCAGAACATGGCTGGCTCTCTCCGCGTTGTTTGTTTGGACAATGTTTTCTTCTCAGGAAGATTTGGCATCGGCTTGTTCTCGGTGGCTCAAATGGGTACTCCCGCTGAAGCGTGGGCCTCATTTTCGGATCGGCGCGTCGCTCCCGTTGTTCAGAATTGCGCTCTCGCCCCAGCGCAGGTCACTGTTCTGGATCTGAGCCCTTTCTCACCGTTGTTGCCCCAGTCATTTCCCTTCCTCTGGATTCTCCTGGTCCTCCTGCTCCTCCCGTTCCTTCCACTCCAGCTCCTGCTGCTGCTGCTGCTGCTGCTCTTCGTCTTCGTCCGCCTCCTTCCTCATCCTCTTGTTCCTCATGTTCATCCGCCTGCTCATCCGCCACCTCCTCCTCCAACGCACGCAGCTTCAATTTTCAGAATTTCAGATTGCGCATAGCACGACAAGGGTCTTATGGAGGGTTCCAGTTCCGCTGTGACACCCACCGGCGGATAGAGAAGAAGCCATCGCAATTGGAAGGGCCGGTTGGGAGGGGTGGGATGTCAGATGCGTATAGCGTGTTAGCTTGTCGCAGGTCGTCTCATGTGGGGTTCCTGGCTTGCCTGGCCCGTCTTGGCTCAATGCGGTTGAGGCCGAGTCATGTGAAGTTGTTTTGTCGCGCTCCCTCCTCCTCCTTCTCCTCCTCCTCCTCCTCCTCAAAAGTGGGCGTCAGATTTGGCGCGAGCGCACGCACCCAGCTTGCCTTCCCACCCTCTCCTCCCCCCCCCGCCCCCCCCCTTTCTTCTCTGCTGCTCCTCCCCGCTGCTGCTGCTCCTCCCCACCCTGGAGTCGTCCGCGTCGGCGTCGTCGTCGGCGTCGTTATCGCTCTCGTCGTCGCCTTCGGCGTCACCAGTCCCCGCCCCACCCCTCACGCGCGCGGGGGTGGGGGGGGCGCGCGCGTCAGGGAAAGGGTAGAGCAGGAGAGGGCAAGCCTGTTTCCGGCAACTTGTGTAATAGATGTTAGTGGGGTCGCATCTTGCGGAGATTGCAGTGCACTGGTGAAGTAGCTTTGCCGTGGAGCCTAGGTGGGTGTGCAGTACTGTTGGTTTCCAGTTTGGTATTTGATTGCACAGGGCTTCTTACCAGGATGACGCGTTACATCGAAAGGCAATGTGTGGCGTGCTTCTTGCACCCACCGCCCACTCGAAAGCCAGTCATGCTCAAAGACAAGGGGATTCGGACGAGGCACACGTCTCCCTGCCATCCGAAGCGCTCTAATACCCCCCTCTTAGCACTATTGGGTGACAATGCTGGGATGAATGGGGAGCGATTCAAACGAGTCGACGTGATCTTCCTTCTGTATGGATGGGGCTTGTAAGGAGAGGGAGGAGGATAAGGAGATAGGGGGGATCGAGGGGAAGGAGGAGGTGGTGTGGGGGGCTGGGGAGGGTGACGGGGGTGGGGCTGGGAAAGAAGAGGAGGAGAAGGATTAGGAGAAGGTGGACAAGGCCAATCCTGAGGGAGACCATCGGAGGTCCCCGCGGTCTCTGGAGGTGTCCATCCCTGATCGCCCCGAATGTCCCCGGAGCCTCTTGGGGTAGGCCTCCAGAGGCCCGGAAGGGGCCAGAAGCATCTGGAGACCTCGATCGTCGATCTCTCTTTCTCGGGGGGTTAGTACCCACCCTCGAACTTCGTCCGAAGGTCTCTACCCCTCCTCCTTCGAACAAATTGATCGTCGATCTCGATCCTGGGCCCTCGTCCTCGAAAGCCTCGATCCTCGAAAGCCTCTACGGTCAGGAACTTCTGCTCAGCGTGTCGCTCCGCTGGTTCTGGCCCACCGCGCTCCAGCTCGAAATGCTAAGCACTTCCCAATCCCCAAGCGTCAACATCCCGAGCCTTTCCAAGCCTCACGGCCCGCGGAGCGGAGCGACACGCTGTCAGTTCGCAGGACATAGCGTCGGCACCACCCAGACGTATTTCTACCATATCTACGACGGCCACGCATGGGCGACGCGCAAGCTAGGACATCTTATACTTGAAGCTCATTGCATAAGCTCCACGGCGGCCGCTTTCTGGCCATGCAGCTCGGAAACACATGGATCACAAGATGTTGTGCTGGGTGTTCCAGTCGGCCGTGCGCCTCCAACAGAGGCGCGTCGTACTAGTGTGTCCCTGTGCGTCCCACAGCGTGTCACTGGGGCCGCCGTCGCGACACGCTGAGCCAAAGTTCCCAGCCATATCCCCTGGAGCGCGGCGTTGGGCCTTGCGTTAGGGGGGGGGGGGCGATGAATGGGGGGGTCAAGCAAGGTGCACCTTCCGTGCCCTGAATGGGCCCTAAAGGGGCCCCCTAGGGCCAAGGAGGGGCACGAAAGGTGTCCGTTCCCCCCCCCGGCAGTTTCAGGAGGGACAATAATAGGCACAGACGATTCAGCGTCGATGCCCATGAAAATATATGGGCAGTGGAGGGGAAGACGAAATGCCCCAGATAATCTACTTGAACGCATGATGGATCCCAGGATCTGCGTCTACTTATCTTTGTGTCTCCCTGGGTCCCTTCAAGCAAGGGGGCCGCCGCCCCAATAGCTAAGCAACGCCCGGCGGGGCGGGAGAGCGTAGAGGGGGGGAGGGGGGGCGGAGGGCTGGTGGCGCGGCCAGGTGCCGTGGGCTCCTCGGCGGCGGCCGCCTGCGCACAGGACCCCCCCCCCCCCTCCGGGTCGAGAGGGAGGCCTGGCATCGCTCGGACGTGTGTGCTTTCTTTGTTCCCCGACGAGGGCCATCGGGGAGCAGATTGAATCAGTTTACGGAAAAGCGAGCGCACGAAATCGAGCAACGCACGGAGCGTGCACGTCCGAGCGATCGCGAGGAGGGGGGAGGGGGAGGGAAGATCGCACCGATCTGCCAGACCCCCTTCCGCGTCGTGGCAAGACCACGACGGCGTCGTCCGACGGGAGGTCCTCCCCCATCTCCGGCCTCCGTGGGCACTCGTTCGGGCCTCGGGGCGGCCAGAGAACGGCTCGGGATGAGGCGCCGGTCCCCAGGAAGGGGTTCAGACATCTGGGGGCGCACGTCATGAACAATTCACGGCGTCGGGAGTCTGGGATGAGAGTTCCAGTCTCATCATGTTGCGCTTGGCCTGACTCAGCTCCCAACCCAGCCATAGACCCTTCTGCTCCTCCTCCTCCTCCTCCTCCTCATCCTCATCCTCCTCCCTGCTCCTCTCCTGCTTCTCTTCCCTACTCCTCCTCTCTCTCCTTCTCCATCCCCATCTTTCCGTCCGTCCTCCATCCCTGCTCCCCTCTCCTCCTCCCTCCCTCCTTTCTGCCCCTCCTTCTTCTTTCCCTCCTGTTCCCCTCGCCCCCTCCCGAGGGGGGAGAGAGACAGAGAGAGAGAGAGAGAGAACAAAAAAAAAAATAAAACGGAGGGAGGAGGATGGAGGAGAGAGGGAGGCGGGAGGAGGGAGAAGGAGGAGGAGGAGGAGGAGGAGAAGGAGGAGGAGGAGGACGAGGAGGAGATGGAGGAGGAGGATGAAGAAGAAGAGGAGGAGGAAGAGGAGGAGAAGGGGGAGGGACCAGGGACCACCTATCTTCCGTCTGCGCCCTCCAGGAGGACAAGCCCAGCACGTGCGAGGACGCCGCGCCAGTCATGCCAGCCGCTGGCGGTGCCCTGGACGAGGACTTTCTCCTTGTTCTCCTCCTCTCCCTCCTCCTCCTCCTCCTCCCTCTCCTCCTCCTCCTCCTCCTCCTCCTCCTCCTCCTCCTCCTCCTCCCGGCGGCGTCGAGAGGTCCTCTAGGCAGGGGGAACGGAAAAGAGTGTTGGAGCTGACCCCTGGGTATGCTCGTCTCTTCCCCCCTCGTCCCACCTTCTCCCTCCTCCTCGCCGTGTCGGTGCCCTGGTTCCTCCGCTTGGTAACCGTCCCCATGCTCTTTTTTCCCCCTCCTCCTCCTCCTCGTCATCCTCTTCCTCCTTCTCCTCCTTCTCCTCCCTCTGCCCATCGTTCTCATCACCATCCTTATCCTCATCATCCTCGCCGTTACCGTCGTCATCGTCATCGTCAACCTCATCATCATCATCATCATCATCATCATCATCATCATCATCATCATCATCATCATCATCATCATCATCATCCTCATCCTCATCCTCATCCTCATCATCATCATCATCATCATGATCATCATCATCATCATCAGTATCACCATCACCGTCATAAGTTTCACCGCCACCACCATCATCATCAAACACTTGAACAACATCATCATCATCAGCATTATCATCATCATCAGCAGCAGCATCAGCATCATCATCCCTGCTACCACCCCCAACACCCCCACCATCACCACTGTCAGAATCACCATCATAATCAGCATCATCATCAGTATCCCCAACATCATCATCATCATAATCATCATCACCATCATCCTCCTCACCATCATCGTCATTATGAACACCACCAGCATCATCCGAATCATCCGCCTCACACTCATCATCAGTATCACCACCACTGACATTATCATCACCATGATCAGCATAACCATCGTCCTCCTCATCATCAGCAGCATCATCAGCATTAGCATCATCATCGGCATCATCGCCAATGTCATCATCATCCCAACCATCGTCATCAGCATCATCATCATCCTTATCATCATCATCACCATCATCATCATCATCATCATCATCATCATCATCATCATCATCATCATCATCATCATCATCATCATCATCATCATCATCATCCTAGTCATCCGTATCATCATCGCCATCATCATCAGCAGCAGCATGAGCAGCATCATACGTCTCATGATCGGTCTCATCATCACCATCGTCAGCATCCCCATCATCATTGTCACTTCTGCATATGTTCCTGCATATGTTCCTTGTTTACCCTCCCCTCGCCAGTTGTTCCCTCGACCCCGCTGTCTCGGAAACGTGCGCGATACAGTATGCTGTCGCTGAAATTTCTTTTCGGCGTAGGCTGGGACATCGCTCTTTCCGTGGTCTGGAGCTCGCGGCCTTGATGGCCCAGAATGAGACTAGGATCACCAGATGTGTCCACCGCGAGTCCGAATGATTCACTATCTGCTAGCGCTCTATCCCCTTTCCTCCCTTCCTCCCGTTGCCCCTCATTCTCATCATCTCCATTTCCCACCCTGTACTTCTGACCTTTGTCTTCCCTCCTCCCTCTGATCATGCTCATCCTGAGTATGCGAATGGTCCTCTGCTTTTCATGTCCTTTCTCTTCGTTATCATGTGTTCACTCATCCCGCTCATCCTCCTCTTCATCTCCATCCACTTCCTCCATCCACGTCCTCCCCGTCAACCTCGCCCTCGTAATTCTCGTAAGCATCATCATCATCAGCATCAGCATCAGCATCAGCATCAGCATCAGCATCAGCATCATTCATCATCATCATCATCATCATCATCATCATCATCGTCATCATCATCATCATCATCATCATCATCATCAACATCATCATCGACATGATCATCCCTCCCTTTCCCCCACCTTTCCGCCTCTCTGTCTCTCTCTCTCTCTCTCACTCTTATGTGTTTGGTTTTGTTGTGCTTTGTCTCTCTCTCTCTCTCTCGCTGACACACTTTCCATCCCCGTCCTCCTCCACCCTCCTCTCTCGGCCCTCTCCCCCTCCATATCCGTCTTCCCCGCCCCCCCCCCCCCAGGGAGGACGGGGAAGAAACGGCGGACGGAAGGGCGGGGGGAGGGGGACGACCAGGAGCCACGGCATCGCAGGAGGAGCCAACGTGCGGAACCCCCCTCCCATCACATCCCCGCCCCGACATCGCCCTCCAGACCACAAGCGGGCGCGTGGGCGCCGGCGCCCCGCCGCGCCCGACGCCGACGCCCTCTTCGCCGACGCGGGCGCGGCGCCCTGGCGCGCGCCGACGCCGACGCCCCCCGCGTCGACGGCGGCGCGGCGCCCCCCGCGGCGGCGGCGGCGCGCGCCGCCCGCGAGGAGCCCGGCGCCGAGCCCGCCGAGGGAGGCGCGGAGCCCAGCGCCGCCCGCGGCGGGGGCGCGGACGCGCTCTCGGGCACCTGGCGGCTGGCGGCCGGGGGCGACCTGGCGCAGGCGCCGCGCGGCGCCCGCGGGGGAAGGGGCGACGACACTTATGTCGGGCGTGTCCCCCTGCAGGGGGATTTTCTACGAAAAATGTAAAACACCCCAAAAATATTCCAAAAAGGTACCCAAATAATAGTCCCCATACTATTGTTTATATTATTTTTGGGTATTTTTAATTTTTCGTCGAGGACAGGCTCGACTTAAGACTACACGTAAGAGTAACCCGTCGCCGGAGTGACCTCTGGTGCGCGCTCCCTGGGGTCACGCGATCGCCGCGCTCGGTGCCATAGTAGCGTCTTGTGCGCTCGTGTTTTGGCCTCCTCGCGCCCCCCAAAAAGCCGCGCACCAAAGGTTACTCTTGCCCAGTGTCACTCTTAGGTGCAGCCGAAAGGGGCGCACCGCCGGCAGAGGGGGGGAACGGCGCTGCGCCGCGGCGGCGGGCGCTGCGCGAGGGTCCAGGGTCCAGGATCCAGGGTCCGCGGGCTCTCTCCTCCCTCCTCTTCGTTAGCTGCATCGAGACGCCCGCGTGGAGTCGCACCGCGTGCCGTGCGCAGAGCGTCCGTGTTGCCACGTTGTTCTGTTGGCTGGACACGTGTTGGCCCACGTGTCGGCGAACGTGTCGCGACAGACCTGCGTTTTTTTGGTCTACGCGTTGCGTGTTGCGTATCGGGGCAGCTAAGTCCGGGATCCAGGGTCGGCAGGCTCTCTCCTCCCTGCTCTATCTCTCTCCCTCCTTCCTGCGGTTTTCGTTCGGGGGGGGGGCCCTGTCGCCGGTGCCCAGGGAGACTGTCGCCCTCCCCCCGGGCACTGAACAAAAAGACAGTTGGATGGGCGCACCCCCATCTGTGGCGCGGCGCGGGGTGGACGGTCGGCCGATGCGCCTGACCCCAGTGGGCCCTTGTTCCAAAGTTGGATAGGTGCCGGGGTCGCGGGTTCAGCTGGAGGAGGAGGAGGTGTAGGAGAGGAAGGAGGGGAGGGGAGGGGAGGGGGAAGGAGGGCGATCGGGAGGAGAAGGAGGAGGAGGAGCAATGGGAAGGATGGTGAGAATGAAGGGGATGGGTGGTGGGCGGGGGGGGGGGGAGTCGGGAACATTGGAAATGGATGAAGGGGATGGGCAAAGGAGGAAGGGGAAGGCTGAGGGGGAGGGTGGAACGAGAGTGGGAGGGGGGGACATGTAAATAAGAGGTGGAGGGTAGAGGCACGGGGTGGTCAGGGGAGGATGGGGATGAGCAGCGCGACGAGAGCACAGGGGGTTCGCACAAGAAGGGGGAACCGGGAAGAGGAGAGGGCACGAACACCCACACTCGAGCTAGCCGTTCGACGTGCCGCGGCGACCAGCAGAATGAGGATGCGTAGCGAGAGCAGGAGGGAGCGGAGGAAGTGGTGGGGGAGGAGGAGGAGGAGGAGGAGGAGGAGGAGGAGGAGGAGGGTATGACGGATGAGGAGGAGGAATTGGAGAGGGAAGAAGAACATGGGGGAATAGGAGAAGGGGGAAGGGGGTACCTCGAGGGGGGAATTAGAAATAGGATGAGGAGAGATTCGGAGGAAGATGATGATGAGGAGGAGAAGGAGGAGGAAGAAGAGGAGGATGAGGAAGAAGTCAGCAAGAGGGAAGGATGTTGAGGAGGACAAGGAGGAGGAGTAGGAGGAGGAGGAGGAGGAGGCGATGTCGGAGGCGAGGCGTGGCGCTCAGGGCCTTCTGCCCGTGGTGCCGTCCTGCTCCGTTCTGCGCGCTCGGCGTGGCACGGCGGAGCGGGAAAGGGGGGGGCTTCTAAGGGGGCGGGGTTGGCTTCGTAGACGGCAGGGGCCTTCGGGACATAATAAGATGGAGGGCTTGATGGCAATCATCGGCCTCTGGGGGCCCTTACCGGGCCTCGGGGCCGTTCAAAGAACGATTCGAGACGAAACGCTGGTCCTGGAAATGGGTCGAGACTTCTGGGGGTCGGCGTCATGAACTAATCATGATGTCGGGGTCTGGGCAGGCAGGGGGGGGGTCGGGGGGGGCGGGGTCGCCCTGGCGGCGGAGGCGTGGGGGCTCGGGATGGCTGGCACCGCAAGGCAAGGTTTCGACGCGATTCGACGGGTCCCCGCTGCGTCCGCCGTGCACCCCGCCACTTCTGTGAGGCAGGCGATGCCAGCGCGGGGGCGCCTCCCGTGGTGATGGGGTCTGCGAATCTGCGCGTTCGGTCGGCTGGTGGGCGCTCTCTCCATGCAGCCCTCCGTCTCCGTCGCGGCCTCGCCCTATGCCTTCGCACCCCCGCGACCCCCCAGGGTGCACCCCCAGGGCCCCAGAGGCAATGCCGAACAACAGAAATGCCCTAGCACGAGAGCGCAGTACATCAGCGACAGGAAAGCTTACAGGGTCTCGAACCGAATTGAGGGGAGAAGTCTTTATGACCCCCAGCAAGAACAGGTCACAGGGTTCCAGAGAGCTAGTCAGCGCACGCTCTCCCTGGATCAGCGCCCTGAGGCACGACGGGCCGCTTCTGTGATCGCCATGAGGGGAAAGGGGTCCAGAGGGGAACGGGTCCTAGACCCCCAAGGTTTTTTCCACAGGGGCAGCCGTTCATCCTCAGTCGTTGTTTGGCCGCCCCGGGGAGGCCGCGGATGGCCCCGGGGCGAGTCTGCCAGGATCCCGTCTCCTCCAGGACCCGCTCCTGACATGCTGCTGCTTCAGCTTCCAGCGTGCGCGGCCGGGGAGGGGCGGCGCTTCCCGGACAGCTCCAGCAGGGCCTCGCGAGGATGCCCGAGCGGCGCGGCGCCCACACCATCTCGGGCGACGCAGTCTGGCCCCGCACTGACCGCACGGCTCTGGGGCCGGGGCCGTTCTCCGAGGATGTCTCGGGGGCGACTGTCGGCGGCGAGCGAGGGGGGGGAGTGAGAAGGAGAGGGCCTGCTCAGAGGGCCCGGAAGTCCCCCGGCCTTCTGAGAAGTTTCCTGAGCTTTCCCCGAAGACGCAGGGAAAACTGATCAGAAGGCACGAGGGCTTCTGAGAAGTCCCGCCGCCTTCTGAGATGGCCTTCTCCTTCTCACTTCCCCCCCTGGCCCGCCGCCGAGATTGGAGACTCCGATGTCGCCGCACGGACTGTCGCCGAACTTCTCGGGGACTCCACGGAGAGGGGAAGATGAGGGGGGGATGAGCTGGACAACGCCCCGGACGATCCTCCGCGCCCGCGTCACCGATATGGCGCCGGCGGATGGTGTCCTCCAGCAGCGTGGTGTTGCGCGCTGGATCACTTACGTTCCCTCTCTCCTCCCCCTCTTCCCCCTTCCTTCGTGCATCCCCTACATCGGCGGCGGGACTTCTCAGAAGCCCTCGCGCCTTCTGAGTAGTTTTCTGTTTTCGAGGAAGGCTTAGAAAACTTCTCAGAAGGCCAGGGGACTCCCGAACCTTCTGAGCAGGCCTTCCCCTTCTCGCTTCCCCCCCCCCGCTCGCGGCCGACTACAAGCACGTCACTGTTCGCCACCGCCACCACGGCCGCGCACTGCCGGTGTCACGGCGTCGGGGCACCGCCTTCTTGGCATGGCGCGCGCAGTCGACCTTCGAATAACTTTTGTTGTCCGGCCAGTCCTTGAGGAGGGAACTTGAAGGGACAATTTAATTCAACATCCTTGATGCGTTTTGGATTTACGCTGGTCCTCCTCCTCCTCCTCCTTCTCCTCCTCCCTCCTCTCGACCTTCGAATAGCTTCTGTTGTCCGGCCAGTCCTTGGCCCCCACGCTGCGCCCCACCGCGTGCCTGCGGAGTGCGGCGCCGTGGCGCGGCGCGGCTCCCGCCCGCTCTGCCCGCCGCGTGCCCGGCCTGCCGCGGGCGGCCCGTCGGAGTGCACGGGGGCCCTTCCGGCGTGCCCGGTCGGGCCTGCTGTGCAGCTCGTGCCTCGTGCCAGCCGCTGGCGCCTGCCGCATGAGGCACCTCGCGCCTCGCTCCCCCCGCTCGCCCCGTCCCCTCCCCCGTCGATCCTCGTCTTCCTCTCGCTTCTGCCCCGGCTTTGGGTTAGGTCGGGCAAGGGCATAGGGGGCTGACGGCGGAGCGGGGGGAACCGCGTGCGCTCGGCGTTTCCCCGAAGAGAGCGCGCGCCGACCGCGCCCCCCCCCCCCCCCGCGGAACGTGCGCTTTGCGAGCGCGGCGAAAGCGCGTGTTATTCTGTGCGAGGCCCGCTCGCCGTCGGGGCCTGTTCTGGCACGAGGGGATCCCATGCCCCTCAGCTGGGAAGCCGGCAGCTATCAGCGTCGGGCCTTCCTCCGGGGGGGCGGGGAAGAGAGGGGCCGAGGGCCAGGGCGAGGGAGGAATGAGAGCACTGGCATGGGAGCGTCGTCGCGGTCGACCCCGCGGCCAGCAGGGGGCACCTCCAGAGGAAGAGGTCGAAGCAGAGGCGGCCGTGGACGGCATCACCGGGGCCGTCCTCCACTCCAAGCCGCCCACATGTCACATGGGGCCTGTCGGAGGATGGCGCCGCACGGCCGATGCATCGGCGATGCGGCGCGACCCGGAGCTGGAGTTCCCCCATCACGTGCGTCGCCCGCCCGTGCATCGCCCACGCATCGGCGGATGCAGCGCGACCATCTGGCCCCATCTCCTTTGGCCCCATTCGGGCGGCCTGCGTCCGTGTGTCGGGGGGGGCCCCAAACAGTGCGGTGACCACACCGAAGGGTGAGTCACTTGGGATTCGGAGTGGCCGCACGGTTTTGGGACTCGGGTTGTTCTCCGAGTAGTATGTCTCGTGCGATTGGGGCCGCCACAGTCCCAAAACCGTGCGGAGGCGGAGCGTGCGGCGGCATTTTTTGGGGGATTCCGAGGTCAACGCATGGTCCATCAGCGCACCGTTTTGCGACACCCAAACACATGCTTACAGTAGGCGCGTCGAGTAAAGCCCAGCATGCCAGCAGGCGCCCCTCGGAAATCCATGTCCCCCGATGGCCATGCAGACCCGCACAAGTTTTGGGGCACCTTCGGAAGCTCAGAGATCGTCGACAAACGTGCCCCTGGATTTCTTATAGCGCGATGTGTCATCGTGCGTATCTAATGTGCAGCCTGGACTGCCAGGCGCGGGGCCAGCCGCATCGCCCGGCCAGGAAGGATCTGTGCCCTCGTTACCGTCGTCGTTTGTGTTGTCCCCGCCGGCAGGTGCTCGAGAGCCTCGGCTTGCCCTCCATGCTGGCGAGAGTGCTGCGCAGAACTCTGCGCATCACCGCGAGCGACGACAGCATCTCCATCTCGGACACCATGATAGGACACTCTGGCGTTCTATATTTTGATATCTGCGACACGCCAGGCCCTCCACGTCGGACGATCGCGCCACATCGCTGGTGCATCGGCGATGCGGCTCGATGTGGAGCCCGATATCCTTGGTGCCGACGTCGCCGGTGCATCGGCACAGCGGCGCGATTCTCCGACTGTGATCCATCTACTCGAACCGTATGTGGGAGGCCTCTGGACACCGTGCCAGCCCAGCGGTGCGGAAAGGGGCAGGTTCAGTCTGGCACACGCTCTGGTTCAGCGCCCTGTCGGAGCTGGTTCGGGCCTCGAGCACCCCCTCCTTGTGCTCAGCCTTGCTCCTTCGCCTTTCTCCTCAGCCTCCTTTCCACCCCTCCTCCTCCTCCTCCTCCTTCTCCTTCTCATCCTCGTCCTTCTCCTCGCCCTCCTCCTTTTACGTTGGGCTAACATAGAAAACTAGCCTGCCGCGTCCTTGCAAGAGCGGAGAGAGTAGAACCCAATCGGGTCGCTGTACCTGGCGGGCGCCGCGGAACATGTGAGAAAGAGAGCCCAGGAAAAAGGATTGCAGAAAGAGTAGGCGCCCGCCAGGTAGAGGTCGACGTCAAGCTTAGTATACATACTCCTCCACCTCCCATGAGCCAGTATAACACCCCATCATCAATGGTAAGTGTCGTCTCGGTAAGGTAAGAGAAAAAACCATGCAGGTGGATATGTGTGAAACTTACATGAGAAGCAGTTCCAGGGTTGCTGCCCAGGGTTCTAGGTTGACCCCAAACCGTATGCACGTCTTCCCAGGCACAAGTCCCCAACCCCTGCTCACATCCCCCTTCCAAGAGATCAGAGTGAGGCTATATGTGCTGCGCATTTGTCCGGCAAGAGATCAGAGTGATGTTGGCTGTGCCGCGTGTTTGACACACACAAAATGTTAGGAATCGGCTGTCCCAGTGGGCTGGCCTGTCATAGCCTGTGGAAGTAAAGACAGTAGGCCGTACAGTGTAGCAGTTCTTGGGTTGATGCCCAGGGCTTCGTCGTTAACCCCAAAACATGGAGGTACTTCATCTCCCGACCCAACACCCTCCATTAAAATCCCCAACACCTGCTCACACACCCCATCCAAAATATCAGAGTGAGGCTGCCTGTGCTGCGCGTTTGTCAGGCAACAATGATTAACATAATGTGACGTGTAGGCTGGCCCAGTGGGCTGGCCTGTCATCGCCTGTGGAGCTACAGGCTTGCAAGGCACAGCTTCTAATGAGGAAACGTCTGCAGCAAGAGGAATACGGGTGACCGTACAGTGTAGCTGTTATTGGGTTGTTGCCCAGGGTTTTTTGCCTGGTCTTGCAGCCGTTATTTCGGTCATCTTCTGGCCGCCTCGGAGCCGTCTAGAGAGCCGGAAGTGGCGCCTGGGACCTACGTTGATTGGGTCGGCCTAAAGGTCAGGGGCAACTTTAGGAGCTACATATGTGGTGTTGGCATTTAGTCAGGGGCAGTGGTAGGGACGGTAGGCTCAGGGAGGGATGCATCGACCCCCGATCGCCCATTGATCGCCGATAGGCCCAAGAACATGCGGGTTCGCAGTGGAGGATCTGTCGACGATTCGTGGTCGATTCCTGGTCGCTGCATGCACCCCTGAGCCAGTTCTCTCGTGAAATTCCACCTGAAATTGGTTATGCTGAAGGCGCGGCCCAGTTTATTTGTACGAAGCGCTAAGATCCCCGCAGTTGCATTGCGTGATAGGTGGTCGTCCTGGACGCATGCGCCAGCGTACATAGCCCTCAGGTTAGTATGGATGAGGCGGTTTCGATGTCCAGCTCTGAGTCTTGTGCGAGCCATGCGTTTACGACGAGGGGAAGTCGCATTCCGTCGTTCAGCTTAAGCTGTGTGAGCCTCGGGTCGAAGTTGATGCCGTCCACACCCCAACATCGCCTCCAAGCTTGACCACTCCAGCCCCGATGGCGCGCCGGGGGGGGGGGTGCGCCGCAGCGCAGGCTCACCTCCCGAAGTGAATGTTAATGCAGTTTTTTTGTTTAATTTGTAAGGGAGGAAGAACCACGCCGATCCCCATAATTTGACGACGAGCGAGGTGAGAAGTGACAAGGAGAAGGCCTGCTCAGAAGGCGGTGGGGCTTCTCAGAAGGCCTCCGGCCTTCTGAGATGTTTCCAGTGTCTTCTGAGCCGGCTCAGAACGTTTCCCAGAAGGCGTGGGGATTTCGGGGCCTTCTGAGAAGGCCGGTCCCTTCTCATTTCCCCCTATGCTCGCCGCCTAAAAATTGGCGGTTGCCACCATAGTCCTGCTTTGCGCGGCCGCTCTCGCGCACAGGTGCGTTTCATAGAGGGCCCTTCGCGTGCAGGGGTGCTCGGTGTGAGGTTGGCTCTCCCGCCCTCTTCGCGGACGAAATGTCGCCGCGCCGTTTGTTCTGACGCGCAGCCTTGCGTCTTGGAGAGGGCGCTACGGCCACCAGGGCAAGCTCCGCCTCGGGCGCAGGGCTTGTCATGGGTCTGCCGCAGTGCCGTCTTCGTTTGCCAGGGCAGGGATTTTTGGGGGTTTGCCGTGGTGGTGGCGTCGTCCTCTTAGGCGCGTCGAGAGCAATCAGCACGGTGGCACATCCCCAGCCCCCAGGCGCCATGATTTCGCCGCATCGTGAACCCCTCGGAGGTCTCGGCCCAGTTTTCTCGAGACCAGCTGCTCGTCCTGAGTCGTCTTTTGACCGTCCCTGGGCACGACGAGGGCCCTGTCACGGGCCGAAGCCCGCGACATACCCCGCGCCATTGTGTTTGCCGCGACGCGAGCGGGTCTAACCTCTATGATACGCTGGTCATTTGAACTGCTCGAGGGTGTCCTCGACCACCTTGCCGCGAACTTTAACGATGTTGCCGTGGGGTCACCTGAATGAACACACATTGCCTCGACGCGAGCGGGTCTGTGGCCTGGAGCCTCTGGAGGCCTCGGGGGGAGTCCGAGAGGGCGCCCCGCCTCCGAAGCTCGGCCCCCAGTCGCGGGACAGACGGTGGAGAGCGCCGAGCTCCGCTTCGTCGTCGGCCAGCCCTTCGAGGCCAGGGCGGGGAGGGGGGCGAGGAGGAGGAGGAGCAGGAGGAGGGAGGAGTAGGAGGAGGAGGGGCGATGAGGAGGAGGAGGAGGAGGAGGAGGAGGAGGAGGAGGAGGAGAATGAGGAGGATGATGAGGAGGAGGAGGATGAGGAGGAGCGGTAACGGCGGGGGGGGGAGGGGCAATGAGCGTGGGGGGATCGAGGCTTGCAGGACAGTGGCCCAGAAGGGGTCTTAAGCGGCCCCTGTCGGGTATGGCCTGGACCGGGAGCTGGTTGGTGATTGGTCGACTAGATGTAAGCGGTGAGAGTGACCTTTCGCTGAAGTGACCTTTGGTGCGGGTCCAATGGGCGATCGATGAACGCGAAGCGGTAGCAGCGGCTTGCGCGCCTGGATTTGGCCACTCTGCGTCACCTGGTAAGCCGCACACCAAAAGGCATTCTTGCCCAGGGTCACTTTGGCGTGTATCCGAAGTGGGCCCCGAAGTCAAAAATATGGATTTGAATCATTATACCAGGTCTAACGTAGCTGGCGTTAGTCGGGTGACAGCAATTCCAGTAGTGGAACAGGGCGGGGGGTCGCCCGGTACACATCACTAAACCAGAATCCGCGAAACCCAGTCCTGCCAACGCCCGACCCTGAACTGGCACCGCGGGCCGAAAAGGACAGCGCACGTTTCCTTGCCCCGCGTCAGCTGAGCGACGCAAAAAAGCGGGTCGCCTGCGCCGACGCTGACGCGCAAATTGACCGCGTAAGGTCGCGCGCCAGCGCTGCAGCGTGCCGCGCTGGCGGCCCGCGTAAGCCACCGCGTAAGATCTCTATGGCATCTCGCGTAAGACTGACCACCCACCAAACAACCCCAACCCATCTCGAAGGCCCCAATCTGCCTTCCTTTCCCAGTGGGGGGGGCGCTTGGATGACAAACAAACAGATGGAACCCGTTCCCCTCCCCCAACCCGAAGTGGGGTCTTCGGGTTGGGTTGGGGCGGCCTGGTAGGTTGTCAAAGCCCCTGTTCTTTTCGGATGCAACTCCTGGGAGGTCGAATTCTGATTTTGCCCTGGTCCGGAATCCGGTTGAATCCCGCTTAATCCCGCTCGATCCAGCTTATTCTGGCTCAATCCTGCTAAATCCAGTGGAATCCCGCTCGATCCGCGGCCCCATCTGTCGTAGCAGTCCCCTAATCCTCCCTAGTCCTTCCGACGAAGACCTCCCAGCACAGTGGAGGCCCATGCCAAGAAACACCCTGCTTGCCTCCAGGGTGCCCTGGGCTTCTTGGGCTTCGATGGTTCTGCTCCGGAGAGCGCGACGCCTCCACACCAAAAATCCATGGACGTCCTGAGGCGTTGGGTTTTCACGCGGCAGGTTTCTTGTGGTCGGGCCCCCACTGCAGATCCCTCGATAAGCACCCCCCCGTGCCAACCTGGCTCGAAGAATGCGGCAGAAGGGTTGGGTCTGAGGCTCGAGTCGTGCAGTCGTGCTTTTCGGTTTTGTGTTACGTTGCAGTGTTTTCGCAATGTCGGCCGCCTCGCCTCCCCGTTCTCCCCTCTTGCACGTTGGCCAATTCGCTTTTCGGCGCTCCCGTCCAGCTCTTTCGCTGGTGCAGCCAACTCCTGCCTCGCCGTTGACGGAACAAGTTTTCGCAATTTCGCAGATCTCAGTGGAGGCCAGCCTCTCGTCTTCGGCGGAGGGCGGCAGAAGGACAGCGGAGGCAAGGCGGGGGCGGGCTTCGCCAGCGGAAGATCGGCCGCTTCCTCGGGTCCCCGCATGCTGACGTGGGTTGGCGAGCCGTGTGGAGCCGCCTCCCTCCCAGTCCCTCCTCCTCCTCCGCGTGCTCCTCGTCGTCCTCCTCCTCCTCCCCCTCCTCCTCATCCGCCTCCTCCCCCTCCTCCTCCTCCGATTCCTCCTCCATTCTCCTCCTCTTGGGGTATAACGGTTTCCCCGCCTCCGCCTCCTTCCTCCTCTTTTCTCATCCGCCTCCCCCTCATTGTGGAGCCGCCTCCCTCCCCTCCCCTCCCTCCGCTGACGCTCAAGCAGTAGCGAAGCGTCCCGGCCTGCCTGTAGGCTCACCAGAGAATGTTCAAAGAACCTGTTGTGGTTTGCACGCCATGTTATTAGGACAGGTCTGGCTGCGACCGCCTTGTTTTAATGCATCGGGCCTATGTTCTAAGAGCTTTGGCTTTGTTTAACAAGCATCTTTGGTTCTTAGAGAATTTCGTGGTAGGCGAATGCTGGGACGGTCCGTCCCTGCTCACGACTTTGTCTTGGGAGCTACAGACACCTCAAACAATACACCACAGGAGATGCCTTATCCCCCGATGGCTCAGGGGGCCCTGAGGCACCTCAGAACGCTCAGAGATAGTCGACAGACGTGCCTGACGACAGGAAAACCTCTTATCGCATGTCCCTGCTGTACGTCCCGGCCGCCGACATTGGTGCCAACCTCTGAGCCTCCCCATGGACCTCCTCCTCCTCCTCCTGCCTCCTCCTCCTCCTCCTCCTCCTCCTCCTTTTCCTCCCCCCATTCTCCTGCCCCAAGCTCCCTCTCCTCCTCCTCCTCCTCCTCCTCCCTCCTCCTCCTCCTCCTCCTCCTCCTCCTTCTCCTCCTGGTCCTCCTCCTCCTCCTCCTCCTCGTCCTCCTCGTCCTCCTCCTCCTCCTCCTCCTCCTGGCTGGCTTTGCAGGCCGCGCCTGCCCGAGGCCGCGAGGACGCCCCAGCAGGCCCCCCCGAAGCGGAGCCGAGGCCGTCGGACCGCAGCCCCGACCCCACCAGGATCCAAGGCCCCGACGTCGAGGTTTCCATGGGCCCCTGGGATTTTCTTCACATGTCGGTGGCGAGCGAGGGGGGGAAGTGAGAAGGAGAAGGCCTGCTCAGCAGGCGGCGGGACTTCTCAGAAGCCCTCTCGCCTTCTGAGAAGTTGATTCTGTCTTCGAAGGAAGGCCGGGGCACTTCCGAGCCTTCTGAGAAGGCCTTCTCCTTCTCACTTCCCCCCCTCGTCCGCCGCCGAACATGTCAGGTACAATAACGGTCGTTTACCTGGGGGTCTGGGGCTTGGGGCCCCGGGTAACAGCAATGCTTTGGCGGGGTGGGGCACGCTTGGGCGGGGGTGCGCTGCGTTCGCCAAAGTAGCCACGCGAGCACCAGCACGTAGGGGGATGGCTCACGTCACGATCGTTACGCGCCAGAGGACGCGCTCCAGTGGCGGTACCCTGCGTTATCGCTTGTCTGGCTGTTTAGCAAATCCCCGCATAAATGTGCGGAGGAAGTTTCGCATGAGGTTGCTCGCCTGGGGGCAATGGCCCCCCAGAGGTCGGTCCCCTTCCTCGCTCGAAGCGAGCCTCCCCCGGGCTCCGACAACCCGCACCCATACCCATAGCGCCCTTATCTCCGTGCCCGTCGCCATTCCTCCTCCCTGCGGGTTTCAGTGCGTTGTACTTTCATACGCCCAGGTCCCAAGAAGAAGCGGGGGCGGACAGCGAGGTGATCGGCCCCGCCCAAGCATTCCTACACGGCTTGCGCGTCGGCCACGCATGGGTGACGCGCACGTTCGGAAGTCTCACAGTGTAGGCTTCTTTGTGGGCGCTGGCTGGCCATACCGCTCGAGAAACGATCTTCTACAAGACTTGGTATTCGATGCTCAAGTCGGACGTGCGTCTCCAATGGAGGCGCAGGTCCGCATATGCGTGCCAGGTGAGGCCCTTCGGGACTTTCGGGGTCACCACACGGCCTGTCACCACGCGGTTTTGGGACCCCCCGGGGCGCGAGTGGCGGCGGCTCTGCGGACCCCGCGCGCGCCCGACCTCTTCGGACGCCCGCCGCGAGGCCGAGTCGCAGATGCTCGGCCGCTTCGACGCGCTTGCCACCTGGGCCGACCCAGATGGCGAGGCCCCCTCGGGGTGCTCGTCTTGTGCGCCGCGTTCGCTCTTTGTGGGCCTCCCCTGAGATCCTTTTGGATGGGACTCCTGGGAGGTCAAGTTCTGATTTTGCCCTGGTCCGAAATCTTGCTTAATTCCGCTTGATCCGCGGCCTTATCCAGTGCAGTCCCGCTCAATCCCGCTTAATCCGCGGCCCAGTCTAGCGTAAAAGCCCCCCCATGGGGCTCAATCTTCCCTTGTCCTTCCGATGGAATAGCTGCCTCCTCAGATCCTGGCGTGGACATGTTTTCACAAGGGGCGTGTTCGCCCAGTTTCGGGCCCCATGGCCCTCACGGATCGATCCGGCTTAGAACATGTGGCAGTAAAATGGGGTCTTGGACTCCAGTGGTGATTTCGATTCCGATGTTTGCAATTTTTTCTGCAGCGTCAGGTCCTGGGAGGCCCTCGTGGCCACCGCTGGATTCGCCTCGACATCCCGGTCAGGACGCACCCTGGGAGAGGCCTGGGGAGTAGCGGTATCTGTACCTTTCCTGCGCCGACAACCAGCACCCCATAGTTATGCGAGCCCCAGATTTCCCCAGGTAGTATTTCAGGGGGGGGGCTATGGGTGTGTGCTGTCGGATGGGGGTCCCCGCTGAACGGGAGAGCACCCCTCCTCGGGGTCCGACGACTCACACTCGTGCCTGGCGCGCCTTCATCACCTCGCCCTCGCACAGTCCTCCTCCCTCTCGGTTTGGGCGTGCTCTTCTTTCATCTTCTCCGGCGCTTCGGGCATAAGATCTTGGCGTTGCACCTTCTTCCGCACGGGGCTCCGGGAAAATCACATATCGATACGGCTTAACAGTGCAGCAAGAAGACGAACCCCTTGGGTCATGAAAAATCGCGACTCCTGTTTTGTTGCCGTGTTCGGTTTCCTGGGGCCGTTCCAGTGGAAGTGGTCTAGACGTCTAGACCTCGGGGGGACTACGTGTCAACAAAATCATAGTGTCGGGGATCTGGATCGGGTGCTCGGGCGTTTCGCAATTGGAAGCGATTGCTGGGGGCATCGCGGATTGCAGGGAGAGGGGCCCTATTGTGGCCCCGAGTGTGCACGAAATGTGCTCTCTTATTCTCACCCCCCCCGTTGACTGCCCCCCCAAGAAGCATCTCCCGAGGTGCGAGGGTTTTGTGGTGATTTCGCCACCATTGTGCAGAGCTCACGGGGCACTTTGCTGGCAAGGACGGCCTGCCCAAGCATTTCCAAAGCAAGGGGACGAGGACCAGGGTGGGGAGGATGTCATGGCTGGGGCCATGACATCTCCCAGAGTTCATGCCCCCCCCTTCTGTCGAGGCGTCCCCTGCACCATCCCCACTCGTCCGCGCTCATGCCTCGGTTCGGATCCAACTCCTGGGAGGTCAAATCCCGAAATCTGGCCCGAAATCTGGCTGAATCCCGCTTCATCCGGCTCAATCCTACTCCGTCCAGTTGGATCCGCGGCCTAATTTGGCGCAGCAGCCCCTCCATAGGGGCTCAATCCTCCCTTTCATCCTACCGACGAAGACCTCCCAATAGTTCCCTCCTCACATGCCTCGGGCCACGATGCGCCAATCTCGCTCTTCCTGAGCCCATCTGCTTCGGCGCACCCCGCACCGGTGGAGGAGGAAGGGGGAATGGAGGCGGTGGTGGTGTATACTCTTGGGGCCCGCATGCACATAACTCCACCGCCTCCCGCGGTCCTCGCCCTGCGGGAAGCGGAGGGAGAAGGACCGAGACCCCCTTGGAAACGCCAGCGCTGCTTTCTGCTGCTTCTGTCTTGCTGCGTTTGTTCTGGCTCCGGCGCCGTGTTGTCCCCGATGCCGTCGCCCTTCTGCTGCCTGCTCCGGGATGTATCCCAGAGCCGTACACGTTGTCCATTTCTATGTATTCGAAAGTTCTTTGATTTTTTTGGGGCCGAAATCCTTTCATTTCTAATTGTTCTATCCTGGGCCTCTTCCTGGCCACTAGGGGGCCAGGAACAATTTGAAACGAGCACAATTAGAAATGAGCACGCTTAGAGATGAACGACGTGTAGTTGTCCCTTGTTCCAGGAGCAAGCTGTTTCACCGTCCTCGCTGTCCAGAAACCTGTTTTTGAGAACGGCAAATAGCGGTCCTGCCAGTTCCGGGGTACTCTGAGGCTCAGATTTCTGAGCGCCACGACAAGATCACGAGGGGCGTCCTCCGCCAGAGTTTGGCCTCGGAAGTCTGGTCTCCAGGTTCGGGGGCCATCAGGAGAGAGGCTGTCGACAGCAGCCTGTCTCCAGGGGCGGGCTTGAGGGCTCTGTGGGGGCCCTCGTCGTGACGCAATCCGCGGTGTCGAAGGGGGGGGAACCGAGGAGGAGATTTCAGGGGGTGGGGAGATGATGGTAGGGGGTTCAAGGATGGGGTCCTCAGGGATGGGGCCCTGAGGGATGGGGTCCTAAGGACAGGAAGGGATCCAAGGGTTGATTTACACTGGTTGAGGCATCTTGTCTTTGGGACCCTATCTTTCAGGACACCATTTGACATGGGATTCCACGGCATGCCAAGGGGGAGGCCTCTGCCATCCTACGCCCCCGCTCCAGGACAGGGGGGAGGCGGGTTAGCGGGGGATGATGGGCGAGGTTGTTTTGGGGTGGGATGGTTTGGGGGCCCTGGGGGTTCCAGGACCAGTTCAGAGGAGGAGAGGTCCGTGCGATGCTGCATCCCTCCTCCCTTGAGGAGGAGGAGGGGGACGACGACGAGGATGAGGAGGATGGAGAGGAACAGGAGCAGGATAAGGAGAAGGATCATGATGCTGATGATGCTGCTGATGATGATGTTGATGATGATGCTGATGATGCTGCTGATGATGATGATGATTATGATGATGATTCTGATGATGATGATGATGATGATGAGGAGGAGGAGGAGGAGGAGGAGCATTAGGAGGATGAGGACGACGACGACGAGGAGGAGGGTGGGTGAGGGGGGGAGAGGCTCTGGAGATGTATCTGGGTGGGATATTGGTTGGCGCTTGCGGGGCTGAACCAAGGGTGGAGGGCCTTTGTCTTGCGGCTTTCCTCTGGGAGAAGGGGGGTGGGGGCGAGAAGGGAGGAGGTTCAGTATCGCTTAACCGACCCCTGTCTCCATCCCATCCAAATCCAGACCCCCATCATCTCAGCACCCCAGTTGGGGATATACCCCTCGAGGCCGGGAGGGAACGGCCGATATCCACGATCTAGGGGGGTGAATCGACCAGCGAGACCCAGGCCCCGCCTTTGGGGATGGGGGTCGAACAGACGATGTTCAGGGGGGGCGAGGAAGGGAGGCGGTGGTGATCTGCTGCGTTGTCGCCCAGTCTGCTTCCTCCTCCTCGGCCTGCAGTTACACAGCGTGGCCCGTCGTGGTTTCGCACCTGGCGGCCGCCGTCGTCTGTCCTAGTTTGTTCCAGCATGCAGTTACGGATCTCATCTCCCCCTCTTTGATGCCGGAGGGGGAACGGTGGAGAGAGGGGGTCGGGGTAGTTGTTGTTGTGAAGGAAAGCATGTTTGAGGAAACGGATCCGAAAACGACTCAGGATGAAGAGTCGGTTCTCGGAAAAGCCCCTGGGTCCAGGACCCGCTTCTTTCGTGGTTTCAACAATTGAAATTTTGAGGGAGTCTATTGGAGTCCACGGCCAGCACAAAGGCAGCGGAGGGTCTCATTCGCATCCCCCATCCTCGATTCCCGTGTCTGTATCGCTAGTCTGTGCTTTTTCGAATCCCTCTCGTCCTCCTTCTCCTCCTCCTCGCCTTCTCTCTCCTCTCTGCTTCTTCCTCCACTCGTCCTCCACTTCTCCCTTCCGCCCCTCCTCATCCTCCCTTGCTGCCCTGTGCATCCCTCTCCTTCTCCGGCGAGCTCGAACGTTTCGGGGAGCTTTTGGAACCCTTGAGAACTTCCCTTGACGGGTGAAGCCCCCGTCAGGAAAACGACCCGGTCCTGCAAAACGACCCGAGGATTCCGATCTGATATCACGACCCGAGGATGCCGTTCTGATTGCCATATCCCATATCTCGGCACCTCGATAGCGAACCCCGTAAGGCAGGACATCCTCCCCCAGCGCCGGGTACGGGAGTCTTGGGAAGTGCCCTCCTCGATTATCTTTTCTCCGTTTTCGCCTCCTCGATCCTCTGCGCCCTCCTCGCGAACCCGATCGACACGCCTGCGTCCACCCTGAGCTGGCATGGCCAGACATGCATGGTTTGCTGGTGTATTGTGCCTGTATGCGTTTAGCGTGGTGGTCGGAGGGACGTCATTCTCTCTCTCTCTCTCTCTCTCTCTCTCTCTCTCCCTCTCTCTCTCTCTCTCTCCCTCCCTCTCTCCCTGCTTGTCCCCTGCTTGTCCCTGCTAGCCCGCCACTGTCCCTCCCTCTTCGGGCGAGTCTGCTCGTCCTCTCCTCGATCCACTGCCCCGGCCTCCTCCCTCGCCCACCACCCCTCTACCTCGATCTTCCGTGCCCTCCCCGTCTCCTGCTCAATCGACACGCCGGCGTCCACCCAGGAGGGGCTGGCACACCCAGACATGCATGTTTCGCTCGTGTATTGTGCCTGCGTCCGCTTAGCATGTGAAGACGTGGTGGATTGAAGAACAGAGAATAAAATGAACAAAGATGTAGCCAGAGTCCAGCTTCCCCAAACAGCGTGTAATGAGCCAAAGTGACTCCTAAGAGTGCTCGTGTGGTTTCCTGCTTCTGATCCACCTGCGCCTTCACAGTCGTCGTCTAGCTGTTCGTGATCGTCGTCGTCGCCGTCCTCCCCCCGCATCCTCGTAATTCTCCTCCTCGCGCTCCCACTTCCACTACACCTCCTCCTCCTTCTCCTCCTCCTCCTTCTCATCCTCCTCAGTCCCCTTCGCTCTTCCTCCCGCTCCTCCTCCTCCTCCTCCTCCTGCCCTTGCTCCTCATCCCCCTCCTCTTCGTCATCCTCCCCATCCTGATCCTCCTGATCCTCCTGATCCTTCTTCGTCGTGTTGACCATCCTAATCCTCCCCTTCGTCCTCCTCCCCCTCCTCCTCCTCCTCCTCCTTCTCCTCCTCCTCCTTCTCCTCCTGCTCCTCCTCCTTCTCTTCCTCCTCCTCCCCCTTCTCCTCCTCGTCCTCATCCTTCTCCTCTTCCTGCTCGTTATTCTCCTGTATCTCCCCATCTCACTCCTCCAGGTGCGATTTCTCCTCGTCGTTTTCTGTCTTCTCCTATTCATCCTCTACCTCGTCATCGACCTCCTCCTTGTATTTCTCTTCCTGCTCCTCCTCCTTGTGTTCCTCGTGCTCTTCCGCTTCAGTGCTCCTCATCCTTCTCATCGCCCTCCTCATCGTCCTCCTCCTCCTCCGCCTCCTCGGAATGCTCCCCCCCTCCCCCTCGTCCTCGCATCCCTCTTCCTCCTCCTCCTCCCCCTCCTCCTCGCCCTCCCCGTCCTTTTCCTCCTCCTCCTCCTTCTACTACTCCTCCTCCTCCTTCTCCGTCTGCTCCTGCTCATGCTCTTTCTCGTCCTCCTCCTCCGCCTTTTCCCTCCTCTTCTCCGCTTCCTCCGCCATGCCAGGGATGCGTCCGGACTCTCGATGCCAGTTCCAGGAGGCACTCTCGTCTGGGGTGCCCTCAATCAAACAGGTAACGTTTGAGCCTGGTCCCGTCTCCTTCCTCCATTCTTCCTCTCGCGCAGCATCTCGGAGCTCATTCCTCATCCCTTTCTCCTCCTCGACCTTGCCTCCCCCTTGCCCGCCACGCTCTAGCCGAGGCATCGCCACGATTTGCTCCAGCATGGCTCCTCCCTGACCAGCCCTTGCAATCTAACCAAGGAATCGTGCTCGCGCCTCGGCGCCAGCTGCCTCCTCAATCGGGCCAGGGGCCCCCAGACCTCTGCCAGAGCACAATTCGACGGCAGAAGTGGAATCAACTGGTTCGTTTGGGCATTACCCGTCCTCGCTCCTCGCCACTCCCTTTCAGAGCCCAGAGCTTCGAGGATGTTGCAAGCGAGACAGGCCAGAGCACCTCTGGCGCGGCATCTCGGAGCCAAGTTGCGAGGACGCCTCCAGCGAAACGCGCCAGACCACCTCGCGTACATTTTCTGAGAGCCCAGAGATGTGAGGATGTGTCAGGGGAAACGGGCAGGACCACCCCGCGAACATTTTCAAGGAGCCTGGAGTTGCGAGGATGTCTCAGACGAGACGCGCCAGACCACCTCGCGCGCGGCATCTCGAGGTTCAAAAAATGTCGAGGATGTCTCCGTCGAAAGAGGGCTGGACCACTCGTGGGCGACATCTGGGAGCTCAGAGGTCCGAGGATGTCACAGGCGGCGCCCAGACCCCTAGCAGAGCACAGTTCGACAACAGATGTGGAATCACATGATTCGTTTGGGCCCGACTCCTCCTCCCTCTCGGAGCCCAAAGCTGTGAGGATGAGTGCCCCGAATTGCGAGGATGTCTCCAGCGAAACGGGCTGGAACAATTCGCGTGCGACATTTTTAAGGTCAGAGTTCCGACGATGTTTCAGGCGGCGCCCAGACCCCTCCTCCCTCCTTTCTCCTCCCCTTCGGAGCCCAGAGTTTCGAAGATGTCTCGGCCGAAACGGGCCAGACCACCTGGCCCGCAGCATCTCGGAGCCCCGAATCGCAAGGATATCCCAAGCGAAACGGGTCACACACCTTTGCACACATTTCCTCAAAGCTCAAGGTTGCAAAGATGTCTCAGGCGAAACGCGCTGGATCGTCTCTCGCGCAGCATCTCGAAGCTGACGTGTGCGAGGATGTCTGAGACGACAGGCGCTAGACCACCTCTCGCGCGGCAGCTCGGAGCTCAGAGTTGCGAGGATGTATCAGGCGAAACGGGCAGGACCACCTCGCGCGCGGCATCTCGGAGCCCTGAGTTGCGAGGATGCCGTAGGCGAAATAAGCCAAGCCACTTAGCGCGCGGCATCTCGAAGGCCAAAGTTGCGCGGATGTTTCAGGCGAAACAAACCGGACCACTTCGCGCGCGGCATCTCGGGCGCTTACGGTTTCGAGGATGTCGTGTATAGACGAAACGGCCCAGATCAACTCGCGCGCGGCGCCTCGGAACCCAGATTTCCGAGGATGTATCAGGCGAAACGGCCCGCAACACCTCTCGCACGGCATCTCGGGGCTTACACTTTCGAGGATGTGTCAGGCGGAACGGCCCAGACCACCTCGCGCGCGGCGCTTCATAGCCCAGATTCACGAGGATGGGCCAATCCTGGAGAGTTGTACGAATGTCCCAATCGAAACGGCCCAGAACACCGGATTTGTTTGAGGATGTCTCTGCTCCCCTTTTCCTTCGGCCGGAATCAGCTTCTACCACATCAGCACCCCGTTCAGGAAGCTGTTTGGGGAATAAACTTTCGACGGCCCGCGAGGATTTATTGGATCGGTGCTGGGTCCCCCTGGCGGCGCCTCCAGCGCCGCACCTGGCGCGCTCCGCGCGTCGGGGAGGGAGTTCCAGCGCCTATCCAAGAACTCCTCCTGGACCGTCGATGCAGTTGTTTCTATCCTCTAGTTGGAGGTGGATAGACCTCCTACCCTGACACGTCGATTAGTGGATGGGCGTGTGTGGTTCGCGAGGGGGCGTCGCGGCCGTTATTTTTGCGGGTCTAGGTTGGCCGGTTTCGGTCCCAGGCCGTTTTCATTAAGGGGAGGTTTGCGAAAGGGAGGTTCGTCCACCGCCGATCTAGTGGTGGGAGGGACGCCATTATTTCTCCCTCCTTGTCCCTGCTGGCCCGCAGCTGTCCCTCCCACTTCGGGCGAGTCTACAGTAAAAACCGGTAGCAAGGATGAGCGACTTTCCAAGGGTTCACTTGCATCTTTCCAGTTCTGCCCATCCTTGACTACCTTCGATGGCCCGCCGCGCCCGAAAAAGCTTCAACACGGGCGTACAAGGGGCTTGCATCCTTATCGCGCATCCTTACAAACAGTTTGATTGTACTCCTCGTGGCCTCGGAAGTTCCTTTGCCTTCTGAGAAGTTTTCTAAGCCTTCCCCGGAGACGCAGAACATCTTTCAGAAGACCAGAGACTTGAGAAGCCCCGCCTCCTTCTGAGAAGGCCTTGTCTTCCTTATTTCTCCCACTCGCTCGCCGCCGAACGTCCCCTGGCCTCCTCCCTCGCCTGGGATGCAACTCCTTGGAGATTAACTTCTGCATCCGCACTGGTACTTTCGCGGTCGATATCCAGCTTAATCTGGGCTGATCTGGCTTAGTCTGGTTTAATCCCGCTGAATCCAGCTTCATCCAGGGCTCAATCTGGCCTATCCCGTGAAGTGGCCCTCCAATCTGGCTCAGTCGCCCCCAATCGTTCCAACGAAGACCTCCCAGGATCGGACGGGGCTAGGACAAGGATGAATCCGTCACAGAGCGTTCCGGAATGCTCTCAGAGCGTTCCGGAGCGCTCTGAGAAGGCCGCGGCGCCCGAGACATTTTCCAGAGCCGCCAGATCTCAGAGATTTTCGATTTATCCTCACCCGATGTTGTCTCGTCCTGGCTTCGTCTTAAAGGATTTGCCTCCTCACCCCGCCTGCCATCCTCGCCCCTCACGCCCGCCACGCCCTCATCCCTCCCCTCCCGCGGCCTCCGCCTACCCCTCCTCCCTCTCCTCGATCTCAGCGTTCTCCCCTCCCTCCCTCCCCATCCTCCACCTCCTCCTCCTCCTTCTCCTCCTGCTCATCCTCCTCGTCTCCCTCCTCCTCGATCCTCTCATGGAACAAACAAGACCTCTCGATCCTCGTCCCTCCGATCTTCCTCCTCTCGAAGAACATAAACTTTCGACGATCCGTGCGGATTTATTGGATCGACGCTGGGGCCCCCCCTTGCGGCGCCTCTGGCGCCGCCCTTGGCGCTCTCCGAGTGCCAGGGAGGGAGTTCCAACGCCAGTCCAAGGAAGCCGCGCGGAGCTCCGACCGTTAATGCTTACGCCGTGCTTTGCTCCCTTACCCTCGGCCTCGGTCCCTCGCCTCAGCATAGGGGGAAATGGGTCCTGAGGGAAACGGGTCCTGGACCCCAAGGCCTCCCCCCAGAACGAGGTCTCGATCCAGAGTTGGTTTCTGACAGTCCCGGGGCTCTTGGTGGGCCCCGAGAGCTCGAAAAAGGCGAAACACCTCAGGACACGTTTTCCTCAGGACCCGCTTTCCCTACGGCGACGATCCCTCACTCCTGGAGGCCTCGGAGCGGGCGCTGATCCTGGAGAAGAGGTTCTCCGTGGGGTCCCGGCAGGTCTGCATGGAGGAGCGCCACCTCGTCACCGAGGACGGGCGCTTGGCTCTAGGCGCCGTCTCAGAGCAGGGGGGAGGGGACAAGGGAGAGGATGAGGAGGACCAGGAGGACCCACCCCGTGAGTCTTGATCGGCCTGTTGGGCCTGTGGGACCAGTGTCACCTTTGTGCCACAGCTTGCCTTCGAGACTTCCTCGCGATTCACACACAGACGAGGCTCCCGCTCGAGACTTCGCAAAGATTTGCCCCTTGGGGTGCTCGAGTATTGTCCCTGCTACAATACGCCGATGACCCGTCCTGATTTGAGCATGGAGGCGGGGACTCCCGCTCGAGATTCTCTCGCGACGAACTGCCTCACAGACGGGACTCTCGCTCGAGACTTCCTCCAGAGTCAGGCCTGAGGAGCCCACATGTGACTACAGGTATGGGTTTTGGATGACCCCGCTCGGATTCAAACATGGAGATGTGGACCCCACAGAGAGGGAATCCCGCTGGAGACTTTTCTTGCGATTCACTCACGGACGAGACCCCCGCTCGAGGCTTCCTCCAGAGTCGGGCCTGAAGAGCGCAAACGTGACTACAGTGACAGGTTTTTGACAACCCCGCTCGGATTCGAACATTGACGCGTGGACCCTATAGGGAGTGGATGCCGCTCGAGACTTCCTCGCGATTCACTTACGGACGAGGCTCTCGCTCGAGCATTCCTCGCGTATATTCAGGTCTCAGGAGCCCAGAAGTGACTACATATACAAGGTTCCAACACCCCGCTCAGATTATGAATGTGAGTGTGAGCGAGGAATGTGTGAGATGATTATGGTGGTGATGATATGTTTCTCAAGGTTTTCGAGTGTATGTGTGAGAAAGAGACAGCAAGAGCGACAGAGAGTGCGCGCAACTGCGTGCGCTGATGGCAATGGTGTTGTGAGGGTGATTGTGAACATATGGTTTGGTGATGGTGACAATGACCAATGGTCATGATGATATTTCATTCGTCGGCAGTCATAATGGAGTTGTGTTGGTGATGATGAGTGCGACAGAAGAGAGGAACGGATGAGGGTTGTGATGATGAGCGGTGGTGACGATGAGTAAAAGAGGAGAGGGGGACAGACGGAGTGAGGTGCTCCTGCGCGGGGTGTATGCTGAGAAAACAACAATCCCGCCTAGGATGCGGGAAAAAAGAAATGGTGTGATGAGGGTGATGGGTGTGAAAGGAGGAAAGGATGAGGGTTGTGATAATGAGCGGTGGTGACGGTGAGTGTGTAAAGAGGAGAGGAGGACAGACGGGGCGAGGTGCTCCTGCACGGGGTGTGCGCAGAGAGGGCAAGACCCCCCCCCAGGATGCGGGGAAAAAAGGAGGAGGATAAGGACTGTCCCTGCTCACGCCTAAGTGCAGCGTTGAATCAATCTCCCGCATCTGTTCAATCCATCCCTCGTCGTGCTCCTCGTTTCATGATCGTCTCTGTGCATCGCCTGCATCATGAGACTCGCACAGTGCGATGTGCTCTGACGGCTCGCGCTTTTTTGTCGATTCTCAGGTGCGTCCGCCATCAGGTGGCAAGGCCCATTCTTTGCTTCGGAGGTTGAACTTCGTGGGCCCGCCTCTCCTACGCTTGAAGTTGACCCGCCAAGTGCCTGATGCCTACGATGCCCAACCCGCGCCCTGCCCATGCTAGCATGTGTTTCCCCGAGCGCCTCACCAGTGTAGGCCTGAGCCCCTGCGGGAAAAAGTGGAGGGCACGGACCAGGATTCAGAGGGCTGGCCAACTCTTGCGAACGGTGGCAACAAGCACGCTGAACGGTCTCCAAGCCGAAGGGGAAAAGGACGATGACGTCGAGAAGAGGGAGGGGGAGGGAAGAAGAGGAGATGGAGGTCTCGCCAAGCGTCAGCTATGCTACACATTCGTTTGATTTGCACTTGGGCGGACTCGGTGCGCAGATGTTCCAGAGGTGCCACAAGGGGGGCCGAGGCGGCGGAAGTGGGAGGAGGAACAGCAGCAGCAGGAGCAGGTCGCCCGCCTCTGGTCGGGCAGGCATGAAAGCCCCCCCCAGCCGCACATACCTCCCCCCGGACCCGTCGTTGGTGTGGCCCGTTGCATGTTTGTGTGTCCCGTTGAGGAGTTGCGTGGCCCGGCGCGCGGCCGCATGGGTGCTACTGTTTACCGAGCAGACTTGGGCGCTGACTCTGTGCAGCCCTGCCGAGGTTTGGCCACAAAAGGGCTTCGCCTGCCAGGGGTGCTTTGTTCCTGAGGCTGGTCCTTCTGCCCTCTATATATTTGGAAACGCCTGGCAGCCCCCTCCCCTGCACACATGCGCCAAAGCAAATTTCGATCTCGTCGATCCGATTCGATATCGATTCCGCCCAGCCTGATCCCATTCGGCTTTGGTGTTCTGGCGATCCTGTGCGGCCCGATGCTTCCCGTGTGGGCGCCGCTGTGCTTGCTGGCGCGCGGCCGTTTTTTTGTTGTTCTGGCTCCGTGGCGACGGCGATGCAGCCCGATCCAACGCGCAACCCGATTCGATGCTGACTGCCTCTGTGCTCGATGATCCGGGGCTCCAGTCTCCATGCCGGTCCGATTCTGATGGGCCCACTGTCCACCACCGCCACCATGATTTGGAGGGGGGAAGGAGGTGGAGGAGGAGGAGGAGGACGAGGAGGAGGGGAAGGAGGAGGAGGAGGAGGAGGAGGAGGAGGAGGAGGGCCTCCTCCCCCTCCAACTTATGGTGTTGGTGGTGTCAAACAGGCCCATCATATTCGATTCCGTTCGCGGTTGAGGTTTTCGTGCGGTTTCGTCGGTTCCTGGAGGTCTTGCTGCCTCGGGCGCGTTCGGAAGCTGCTCGAGCCGTCCCAGGCGGCCGCCGAAGACCCGAGTAATGACCCGAAGGACGAGTAGTACCGCTTCTGGCCGAGTCGATTCCTACATTCCGAGGATCCGATATATGGCTCGATGCTTGCATGGCGCCGTCGTGGCATGCTGGCACGGCCGATTCGACTCGATTCGGACTCCGTGCCGATGCGGCCCGATTCGACGCACGTTCCGAGTCGATGCTGGCTGCTCCTGGGTGCGAAGGTCGAGATCTGCGCACGCTGCTGGCCCTCTGGGATCGGGCCTCGAGGTTCGAGGGTCGAGGATCGGGGTTTGAGGGTGGAGGTTCCAGCTTCAGGGGCCGCGGTTCGAGGTCCGAGGATCGTGGATGGAGGTTCGATGCTGCGCGTTACCAGCCTGAAACGGGTCCCCATCCCTACGATCGAGATCTGCTTATCTCGGTGCCGATCTCAGGGATTCCTTCAGGCTCTGATGGCACATCCCCGAGATTGTCGTCGCTTTTGCGGCTCGTCAATCTTAGCGATAGGGGTCGTCGTCGGCGTCGGCGTCGGCGTCGTCGTCGTCGTCGTTATGCTGGCGGGCCCTGGCCCACGCGCAGGCATCACCCTGCGGGGCAGGGGCCGCGCGAGCTTCCGTGTGCGGACCGCCGCGGACCGCGACGGCCTGTGCCTGGGCCTGGAGGACGGCACGCTGCGGCTGAAGCAGGAGCGCGCCTGGCGCTGTCTCCAGTGGGGGGGGTCGGATGCTGATGGGCCTGTTTCCTACCACCACCACGATAAGATGGAGGGAGAGGGGGTCCTCTTCATCCTCCTCCTCCTCCTCCTCCTCCTCCTCCTCCTCCTCCTCCTCGTCCCCCCTCCAACTTGTGGTGGTGGTGGTGGTAGAAAACAGGCCCATCAGCTCCTGGGAGGTCGAATTCTGAGTTTGCCCTGGTCCGAAGTCCCGCTGAATCCCGCTTGATCCCGCTCCACTCGCGGCCTAATCCGGCGTAGCAGCCCCCCAAGTGGGCTCAATTCTCCGTAGCCCTCCCGACGAAGGCCTCCCAGTAGTTGCCTCCTAATTCGGGTGGGCGGGGGGGGGGGGTGAAGGAGGCGGAGGAGGAGACGGAGGGGGGAGGGAGCGCAGCCCCAGCCGTCACCTCACCACACTGCTGCGCTACATTTTGCCACCTACACATCCCCCGCTCTTCCTTGCTATATGATGGGGCCTCTTCCTCCGTCTCCGCCTCCTCCTCCTCCTTGTTATCACGGGGCCTCTGCGTGTTGTGCTTTTCTCTGTCGGTGCCCCCACTTGCTGTCTACCGATGCCGCCTGTGACATCTGGAGCGGTGCTCCAGGGGCCGCCCGGCTCCAGTTTAATCAACCCCCAGGGTCGACCGGCCCTGGGGGGGGAGGCTGCACCCGTTGGGCTTCAGGCCACCAGGAACCAGGAACCACGGGGGGGGGGTCGCGGTCTGCGCTGCTCTCCCGGGAGTTCTCGACCCATTGTCCCCTCGCTGTGCCGCGTGCCGTGCTTGGGACTTCGTCGGGATTGTTTTGCTGACGTTGCATGGCGCGCTCTTGCTGCAGGAGGCAAGCAGGCAGCACGTTGAAGAAAGGGGCGAGAGGGGGAGAGACAAGAAGAAGACGGAGGAGAGGGAGACGGAGGAGAGGAGGAGCGCGAGAAAGATGGGTAGCACGAGGAGGAGGAAGAGGAGGACGAGCCAATTAGAAGGAGAAGGACGATGATATTTCTTGGGTAGGGGATCATCTGCAGAATTGACTTACTCCAAACTTCATGTTATGTCGAATCTACGTACACATCGTAGAGTGTTCCGAAGATATACGGAGCGTTCCATCAAGGTGTTGTAAATTCGGCGGGGAATCGATTCTAGGGTACACCGATGTTGTAGCCGATCCCCGACTCGAACTGATAAGGAGAAGAGTGGGGGTCCGAAGGTTGATTCTCATCGGCTTTGGCGTCCTCTGTGGGGCGGGCCGGACGTGACGTCCCCCGTCCTTGTGGGTGGAGTCGCCTCGCCTCCTGGTGCCAGTCTTGAGGATTGCTGTTCGCCCAGTTGTTCCGAGGGCGCTCGCCCGAGGTCGTCATGGGCCAGGGCTTGCCAATCTCAGGTATGGGGATGCCTGGAAGGAGGAGAGGAGCAGGAGGAGAGAAGGAGCAGGAGCAGAGAGACCCGCGCCTCCTCTCGTCGCGTCCTGATCTGCGGGTCTGTCCTCGCTTGGCATGAGTGGTACCGTAGACTAGAGCACCTCATCTGCCACACCAGCAGCACAGACGGGTGCATTCGCAGCGCGCCGCTTTGAAGGGTGGGGAGTGCATGCAGCTTTCCCCGAACAAGCATACATCGGCTTAGGTCTGTGTTATGCGTTGCTCATGGTGATTGATTTCTCGAGCTTGGCATTTTCAGTCAGCTGGTGCTCCATGGCGACCTCAATGGGGGACGCGCTGCTCGAGGTAGCAAACAACACGGCTTATATGTACACATGTATGTGTTTACACACATATATACATATATATACATACCGATGAGTTTTGTTGATCGCGTTTGCAATAGGTGTGGCGAAGAGGTGCGGCAAAGGCTACGCCAATGGGCAGAGCAACGCTGATGCCCCAATAGGCTTCCGTATCCGCCATGGTCATTATTGATCACGTGGGCTTCAGAGTGTTGGTCAATAGGTCGTCTGTGTTCCTATGGCTGAGTGGGTTCGTCATCAGCTTGACCCGCCGCAGGGAACTGGGACAATTGAAAACTCACGTCGGTTCTGCGAAACAAGTGGTCATTGTCTTTCTTCATCGCTGGATGCGCACTGCGCTTCTGTATCCTTCTTTAAAACAAAAAATAAAACTGTGCTCATCAGTGTAGTCTACGAGACCGACGCGGCGACGGCTACGCACGACGGCATTGACTTCCTTGCGCCGTCAAATCTCCGTCTGACGATGACCCATGATGACAGTCATGCTTCCATGGTCGAATCCGCTGCCCTCTTCATCCACAACGATTCGGATGCAACTCCTAGGAGGTCAAATTCTGAATTTACCCTGGTCCGAAACCTTGCTTCATCTGGCTTTATCCCGCTTAATGTTTCATCCGGTTGAATGCTGTTTATTCCAGCTCAGCCCGCGGCTTACTCCGGCAGGAGCCCCGCAACGGGTTTCTTTTCTCCCCGATCCGTTCGACGAAGACCACCCAGTAGTTGCCTCCTAAAATCGGTTGGGCGATGAGCAGATTGTTTGTATCAGTGATCCTTCACTTGTATTTTGTCTACCCTGTTCTTGAACGAGGGTTCTTCGGAAGGGCCAGGCAGCTCTCCCAGAATAATGTATCGATCAAGGCCATCGCGGTGTGTTGTGCAGTCGAAGTGGCTTATATCGCTCTGGTCCTCTGGGCAACCGACGCAGACCGGGCCAGATCTTGGAAGGCTTTCGATGTGAATGGCCTGTGGCCAAATGCTCAGACGTGCTTGCCAGCTTGACGGATGTTTCCGCGCCGTGGCCTGTTCGCGAGCGGGGGTGAGACTGAATGCTTGTGGAGAGTGGGATATATCGTACCGCCACGATCACCTGATCTCGGGTTGGGCATACTCATATCCCAATTGGACTTCCACAGGGACACCATATTGCACCAGTGGTCTGACAGAACCAGCTGGACTGGAGTTGCCGTTCGTGTGCGGACGTCGTGCTTGTTTTGTTTCTTCTTGACATTGTCCATGTTCAAAGGAGGAACGTACCACACCGGCGAGGTGTGTAAGTGTTCCAACCCGTTGTTTTTAGCAGTAATGCTCATTGTGTGGGCGTTGGGTTTTGGCCCCCAGGCGGAGTTACCGCGAAAAGCAATTGAACCATGAGCCGTTTTTGTTCGCAAGGGGTTTCGCGTGCGGTGTGTGTATATATATGCGTGTATTGAGAGATGGTTTCCGTACTATGTATGGTTTTGCAGGGGATATTGTGTCGCCACTGCATGTCAAGAACGGAGACCGCATGCTTCAGGGTGCCTTACTTCTCACACTTCTGCGCCCCTCATCTTGGACAACTGTCCGATTTGTTGAGGTGCCTTCCAGCGATATGGCTCGATACATGGTAGGTGATGTTTCAAGTCGCGCGCCGCAACGTCAGCCCGAGAGACACCCAGACGGAGCAACTTCGAGACACGGATACTTCGGATGGTCTTCGAGTGATGGGTCAGGGGTCGGCCGTGAAACGGTCTGCACTCCCCCCCCCTGTCTCTTTCCTCCCGCCCCTGCCTCCCAGAGGCGGAACACCGGCTGACCCTGTTGGGGTGGGCCTGCTTTCTGCTTCATTTGCCTGTCTCGGTCTCGTCCTCGCTCCCCCCCCCCCTCCGAATGCAGCCACCCGGAGCCCCAGATCTGGACCGAGGGGGCCTGGTAATCGGCGCAGCTTGCGGGGGCAGTCCAAGGCTCGGCCAGCCCTGCCCCCTCCTCCCTCCTTCCCCGACTGGGCGGCCTCGATGCTACAGTGTGCACGGGCACTGCGCGGCCGACCCTGGACTGTCTTCGCCGTCCAGGCTCACCCTGATTAGCCGCTGTGGAGCAGCGCCGCTTTTGACGGGCCCCGCCGTGCACGCCTCCAGTTTCAACATGACTTGTTGGCGATTGTGTGGGCCCTATATGTGATGTCCCATTCCTCTCCTGTTCGGTCTCCGCTTCTCCTCTCCTTGTCCCTACCTTTAAGATGATAGCATTTCGGGCGTCTTTCTATCACTTGCGACTCGCATGGAATCCAAGCTTACTGTGTACTGTTTGGCGCCTCGCTGATTGTCGTTGGGTCGGGACTTGTTCTAGATTTGGTCTTTGGAACCACGTGGAATGCACATACAATGTCACTGTCACTTTCCTTTTTTCCTCGTCTCCCCTCTTCCTCCTCCTCTCCTCCCGCCCCTCCACCCCAGTCTGGCTGTTTCTTTACTCCTGGCACGTGCCAGAGATTTAAGCAGCCGATCTGCGGGACTGTCGTTTTTGGCAACCACTTTGCCCACTCTTCCTCATCGTCCTTCTCCTCGTTCTCTTCCTCTTCCTCGCCACCCCCTGTGCCCGAGTCCCGAGTCTGGGGCCATCGCAGGTTCTTGCATCCCGCATTGCAGAGGTTGATCGCGCTTCATGCCCCTTAGCTGTCCATTTTCTCCTCCCGACAATGCGCTGGCAAAATCAATTTGATGTGTGTTTTGCCGCTTCAAGCAGGATTAGCTTGGGTCCATCCTGAGGGGGGCGTGCTGACTTGTTCTGAGAGGCGCCCAGTGTAGCTAAAGGTAAGCCGAAGGCAAGCCACACAGGCAACCGAAAAGCGAGATGTGAGCAAACCTTAAAAAAACAGGTTGCACTACACACATCTCTAACATCAGTACGCAGGCAAGGTTAGAATAGGCTAATTGCAAGCCGAAGAGCGAATCAGCAGGCCAGCTAGGAAAGCAAGCTAAAGGCAAGATCGTGATGCAAGTCGCGGGCGAACAGCGTGCGACACGCAGCTTGTCAAGCCGAAGGCAAGCTAACGTCAAGCCACAGGCAAGCTAAGCGCACGGGAATCAGATGACCAACTCGGCTCCCAATACATCGACGCAGCATTGCATGTTCGAGGCTCGAAGTCTCCGACAGAAGTCCGACAGAAGTTGATCATACTCTCGTTGGGCAGGCATGGCAAAGGCAGACTGGACACTTGAATTGACGGCAAGCTGTACTCAAGCCAACGGCAAGGTAGAGGCACCCGCCGTGGTGGGGGGCGGCGACGGCGCACGGTTGGGGCGGAGGGGTGGTTCTTGGGGACCAGGGCGGAGGAGGGGGGGGGATGGGAGAGAGGAGAAAGGCAAGCTGGGCACGCTCGCGCCACATCTACCGTCATATCCCTCCCGCCCATCCTTCCCAGTGCGCTGATGTGTTCTCTATTCGCGGGCGAGTGTCATGACGGACCTGACACTCCAAAGAAGATGCCATCGTGACCTGTTCAATCGGACAGGGGGAGTTGGGCAAGCGGAACAAAAGGAGAATTAGGGAGAAGGAGGAGGACGATGACGAATAGCAGTAGCGGGGATTGGATGGAAACAATTGGAGAAGCACGCGGAGCAGGAGAAGGTAGGGGAGGGGAAATAAGGGGAGCGACAGCGATGACGGACGACTCGGATCCAGAAACGTGGCCCTGGGGCGAGGGCGCCACTCTGAACGACGGGGGCAAAGCGCCGATCCGGCAACGTGAGACACCGCAAATAATAGGATTGCAAGAGAGAACTCACACGACAAATCACCTTTGTCATCATCATCATCAGCAGCAGCATCATCATCATTAGCAGCAGCAGCATCAGCATCATCAGCATCATCAGCATCATCAGCATCAGCATCAGCATCAGCATCAGCATAATCATCATCATCATCGTCATAATCATCATCATCATCATCATCATCATCATCATCATCATCATCATCATCATCATCATCATCATCATCATCATCATCATCATCATCATCATCATCATCATCATCATCATCGTCATCGTCATCGTCATCATCATCATCATCAGAAGCAGCAGCAGCAGCAGCAGCATCATCATCCTCTTCTGGGCCTCATCCTCCCTTCATTCCTTTGGGGCCTTCTTATCCCTCCTCCTCCTCCTCATCATCAGTCTCCTCATCTGTCTCCTCCTCTGTCTACTCCTCCTCCTCCTCCTCCTCCTCCTCCTCCTCCTCCTACTCACCTTCCTCCTCCTCCTCCTCCTCCTTCTCCCTCCTCCTCCTCCTCCTCTTCCTCCTTCTCTTCCTCCTCCTCCTCCTCCTCCTCCTTGTCCTTCCCATGCTCCTCGTCGTCATCGTCGTCATCCTCCTCTTTCTCCTCCTCCTTCTCCTCCTCCCTCCTCCTACTCACATCCCTCCTCCTCCTCCTCCTTCTCCTCCTCCTCCTCCTCCTCCTCCTCCCTCCTCCTCCACCTCCTCCTCCCTCCTCCTCCGCCAATCGTGTGTGTAAGAACCATGCGCGGAGAGGGCGGAACGCTCTCCGGACGGAGTCCAGGGAAAGAGGGGAGAGCAGTACTCATAAGGTGAAAGTGTGGAGGAGGTGGAAGGATACGGCGGGGGAGAGGGGAGAGTCGGACGGGGCTGGGACGAGCCTAAATCCGTTCCAGAGCCTTCAGGAACGCTCTCAGAGCGTTCCAGACCGCTCTGAGAAAGCCGCGGCGCCCGAGAGCCCGAGGCATCCTCCAGAGCCGTCGGATCCCAGAGATTCTCGATTCATCCTCACCCGATGCTATCCTCGTCTTGGCTTCGTCTTAGAGAGTGGCAGGGGGAGGACGAGGATCGACCAAAAAGCAAGCGACACCACCCCACCTACGGCCCTCCATTTTGCGCTACGGCCCATCGGGAGCCGTAGCGTATACAACACAAAAGCCCACGCCAGATTTGCTGGTGTTCGCTGAGCCCCCTGGGGCCGCATGTGGGGTGGTATCGTTTGTTTTCTGGTCCAGAGGAGAAGATCGGGTGGGAGTGGGCAGGGAGAGAGGGGGGGGGGCAACTGGGGACGACGGAGGGTGCATTCTCGGAGTCGAGCCCCCCCTCCCGCCCCCCTGTCTTCTCGTTCGCAGCAGCTTCCTCTCCCCTCCCTTGAAGGTCCTAGGGCCTCCTCCTGCTCGTCCTCCCTCGACGCCCCTGCTTCTGACCCTTCGATTCCCTCTTGCTCATCCTTCCTCCTCCCCATCTTCCTCCCTCCTCCCTCTTTCTCCCTCCATCCTCCTCTTACCTCTTGCGTACCCCCGCTTTGCCCTCCCCCCTCCCCCCATCCTCTTCCCAGACCTCCCCGACGCCGGGAGCTGTTCGCAGCGGCGGGAGGCCTGGTCTGGAGCTTCCCTGGACTGGGCATTCCTCCCGAGCGTGTGCTCTGCTCCCCTGGGCCCGGCCAGGGCGCCCCCCGGAGGCCGCACACGGCCGAAAACCCGCCGCCGCAGTCTGCAGTCGGAGGGCGCGCAATGCGGGGGCGATGCATGCCCTGAGATCATGGCGTCTCCGTTTTTTCGAGCTGGGCGTCCTTCTATTTTTTCAGGCCCTGGGCCCCTCACGGATCGATCCGGCCAGAGACACGCAGAAAGGTGGGGTCCAGGGCCGTAGGAGCGATGGGTCACGATGTTGCAATGGTCTTCGCTACGTCGAATCTCAGGTCGGGGGGGCAGCGAGGGCTGCATGGAAGGGGCCCTTCAGGGCCCCTGAAGGGCCCCTTTCTAGGGCCCAAGCAGGGGCCTTTGGGCCCCGAGAAGTGTAGATTTCCTCCCCCCCCAGTTCTTGCCCCCCCCACTAAGCGACGCCCAAGAGTTTGTGCTTCCCTGGGCCCAGCGAGGGGAGGCCAGAGGCCAGGGCCACCCTACCGCTTCCCCTGACCGTCTTTTATGTGTTATTGGCATCGCTCGGACATGTGCATATTTTTCTCGGCGAGCATCTTGGGTCAGCTTGCGTAGAATACACCCGCGAATCCAACACATGCACGGGGAATGGACGTCCGAGCGATGGCAAGTCAATGGTTTCACTGCTTCAGTGCGGGATCCCTGCAGGTCTGGCCCACTTCCCAGGGACAGTTTTGTCGTCCTGGGCAATTGCTCTACATTTTGGGCGGGTGGCAGTGGGGGTGGCCTAAACGGTTTTCAAGAGGAGGGTCCTCAGGGGGCCTTTTACTTGGCATTGCTCGGACGTGTGCAGTTTTTTTTTCTCGGCGAGGACCATCGAGGAGCATCCTGGGTCATCTTGCGAGAAGTCAGCGCACGAAACCGAAGAATGCACGGGGAATGGACGTCCGAGCGATGGCAAGTCGAGGCTCTGACTTTTCGGTGCGAGATCCCTGCAGACCCGGACCACTTCTCAGGGACCCGTTGGTCGTCCGGGGCATCTGCTCTACGCCTCGGACGGGTGGCAAGGGGGGGCGACGGAACTGGGGGGAAGAGGTCCCACCTTCTCCGCCTCCTCCTCCTCCTCCTCCTCCTCCTCCTCCTCACTCCTCCCCTCCTCCTCCTCCTCCTCCTCCTCCTCCTCCTCCTCCTACTACTCACCTTCCTCCTCCTCCTCCTCTTCCTCCTCCTCCTCCTCCTCCTCCTCCTCCTCCTCCTCCTCCTCCTCCTCCTCCTCCTCCTCCTCCTCCTCCATGGGCGCGGACGAGCCCGTGTTATACCTCTTGATGGTTCCCCGCTGGGGTGCAGAAGAGGGTCCTGCAGGAGCCCCTTTTTGTCGAGGCCCGTGCGGGCTCCAGCAGGGGCCCTGCAGGAGCCTCGAGGGCCCCTGCGGGGCCCGATGGGGCCCCCTCTTGGGCCTCGAGGGGTCCTTGACTTTTCCTGGGCTGCATTGGGGTGCCATGGGTTCCGGGGGCTCCGTCCCTCGAGCCTGAAGAAAAGAGCCGTCCGGCGTGCCCGCCTCCCGCCCGCACGGTCTTCGCGCGGGCGGGGCGGGGGGAGGCGCCCAAAGCAGTGCACCGCGGGAGCGGAGGGGCCAAGAGACCAGCAGCGGAGAAGGGGCAGGCCCCCTTCGAGGCCCCTTGTGGGCCCCCCACTCCCTTGCTGGACCCAAGGCCCCCTTGAGGGCCCTTTTCTCCCCCCCGCGCCCCCCACCTTTTAGGTCACCCGCCAACTACCCCCTGCCAGAACGCTCCATGGGCCCAGCGAGGGCCTCGCCGCGCCGCAAGACTGTACAGTAACGTGCAGGTTGTGCTCGAGACGTCGCAGGTCTGGCCCCGCCCCCCCCGACCCCGAAGAGGACGTCCAGCTCGGGCAGGACACCGCGTTCGCCGGGAGCCGCGTCGTCGGTGGCCCCGGGCGACGCAAGAGCTCTCCCGCCTCGGGCCGTCGGGCAACCGGCCTGGCGTCGGGCCGCTGGGGGAGAGTGGGGGAGGATTGAGGAAATTAAGGAGGAGGAGGAGGAGGAGGAGGAGGAGGAGGATCAAGGGTAAGAGGATGAGAGGAGGAGGAGGAGGAGGAGGAGGAGGAGGAGGAGGAAGAGAAGGTGGATCGAGAGGAGGAAAGGATGAGAGAACAAATGAGGAGACGAAGGAGGAGGAGGAGGAGAAGGAGGAGGAGGAGGAGGAGGATCAGGAGGAGGAGGAGGAGGAGAGGACGGAGAAGCGGGATCTAGGAGATCGGGTTGGATGGACGCAGGAGGAGTGGTGGAGCACGATGTGGAGGAGGAGGACAGCGAGAATGATGGGGTTGAGCAGAAGAAGGGTCGAGGATGATTGGGGAGGAGGATCGAGGAGAGCGAGGTGGAGAGGGATCATGAGGAGGAGGAGGAGGAGGAGGAGGAGGAGGAGGAGGAGGAGGAGGAGGAGGAGGAGGAGTAGAAGAAGGAACAGGACGGACGTGTTGGGATGCTTCCCTTTTTCCCCTTCCCCCTCTCTTCTGGGGTGCTTCGGACGCATCTGGACGCCCGCCGGGACTTTCGGAATCCTCCGGAAGACTTTGGGGCTGCACCACGTCCCACCGTTTACTTTGAGAGGGGGCCCGCGGGGTACCTCCATTCTCTCTCTCTCTCTCTGTAATCCTCTCTATCTCTCTACATGCATGCGGTAATTGTGAACACTTGTGGTACCTCTGTTCATGTATGAGATACCTATGCCATGTATGCACCTGTACACAATTCTTTACGCTTCGCGTATCCCCACCAGCCCATCTCACAGCAGCAACTCTCGCGAAGCATGCCGACAGTCGTGTTTTTCAGGCGTGTGTCCGCTGGGCCCCGCATATCTCCCCTGTTCCTCCTTCCTCCCGCCTCCTTGTACATCCTCCTTGTGGGGGGAGCGGGAGAAGGACGAGGCGGAGGAGGAGGGAGAGAAAGCGCTCCTCGTGGTTTGAGTCGTTTGGGGTTTCTCGTCCTGGTGTGAGTCGTTCGGGCCCTTCTTCCTGGTGTGAGTCGTTCGGGCTCTTCGTGGTGTGAGTCGTTCGGGCTCTTCGTCCTGGTGTGAGTCGTTCGGGCTTCTCGTGGTGTGAGTTGTTCGGGCCCCTCGTCCTGGTGTGAGTCGTTCGGGCCCCTCCTCCTGGTGTGACTCGTTCGGGCTCCTCGTGGTGTGAGTCGTTCGGGGCCCGCGTCGTGGTGTGAGTCGTTCGGGCTCCTCGTGGTGTGAGTCGTTCGGGCGCCTCGTCCTGGTGTGAGTCGTTCGGGCCCCTCCTTGTGGTGTGAGTCGTTCGGGCTCTTCGTGGTGTGAGTCGTTCGGGCCCCTCGTCCTGGTGTGAGTCGTTCGGGCTTCTCGTGGTGTGAGTCGTTCGGGCCCTCGTCCTGATGTGAGTCGTTCGGGCTCCTCGTGGGGCCCCTTGGGGGCCTCTTGGAGCCTCGTGTGGCCTCTTGGGGGCCTCTTGGGGGCCTCTTGGGGGCCTCTTGGGGCGTCGTGGGCCTCTGGGGGGCCTCTTGGGGGCCTCTTGGGGGCCTCTTGGGGCCTCGTTGGGCCTCTTGGGGGCCTCGTGGGGTCCTCTTGGGGGCCTCTTCGGGCCGCTTGGGGGCCTCGGGGGGGCCTCTTGGAGGCCTCTTGGGAGCCTCCTGGGGGCCTCTTGGGGCCATCTTGGGGCCTCTTGCGACCTCCGCAGAAGCGCAAAGGAGAGCTGCCCCCTGAGAAGGACAAAATGAGCCCAAAACCTTCGTAAAATCAATGATTTTGAGAACAAGGAAGAGGAGCGGTGCCCCCTCAGAAGGCCAAAATGGGGCCAAAACCGTAGTAAAATCAATGGTTATGGCTTCACAGAAGAGGAGAGGGACCTAAGAGCGTCCCCCCGTCGGGGCCAGAATCCTCGTGAGGGTCGTCGTTTTTTGGCCCTCCCAGGCGTCGAAGAAGACCCCCCTGACCACCCGCCGGACTCCCTCTCCAGGCCCAGGCGGAGGGGGTAGGGGGAGGGGTAAACCCCTCCCCGAAGGGGAAGAAGGGGGGTTGGGGGGTTGAGGACAGAGAAAGCTCGCTAAACCACTCACGCCCAAAGGGCTGGTGGGATTATCGCTACATACGCTGATTCACATCTTTGTACACGCATCTGTATCCTCCTTCTCCCGCCGTTCCGTTTGCCCCCCGATCGGTATCCGTTCCTTCCTTCCTTTTTCGCTGGCGCTGGCCCTTCTCCTCTGTGGGTGGCAGGAAGAAAGTGATGCGGAGGAAGGCTGGGGTGGACACGGGGGTATTGTCGGAGCCCGTGTTCGAAGAGCGCAGCCTTTTCAGGGCGGGTGCCCAAAGAAGAGGACGCGCGAGACGTCCCCCCCCCCCTGTCAAAGGGACCCTCAATAGGCTTGTGAGCACGCAGGGCACCGCTTCCTTCTGAACATCCTCCTGCACCTCGTCTCATTCGCCATCTTGACATCCTGCGCGTGATCGTCCCCCCCTCAGCCTCTTTCTCAGTGTGCACTCTCCCGTACCTCTGCACCCTCTCCCCTGCCCCTGATATCGTTTCTCCTGGTGTTCCTTTTCCCTTATCCTGTTCATCCTCTTCCTTCTTCCTCCTCCTCATCTCCTTCTTCTCATTTCCATTATACTCATACCTCTTCCCGTCTCCTCTATCTTCCTCCTCCCCGCTCTCTACTCCCTTTCTTCTCCCAGTGCTCTTGCTGTTCTTCCTACCCCCTTCTTCCCCCGTCCTGCCCTCCTCCCGCCTCCGCCTCCTCCCCCTCCGAGCACGATTGTGCAATTCGCATAATGATCTCCATTGTTATTCCCTCCCCTCTTCCTCCCACCCCTCTCCCCCGACGTCGTCGTCGTCGAACCCCTTGGCCCGCAGGTCCGGAGTGCATCTCCTCCCCAGACGACCTGCGGGCCATGAAGGCAGGGCGGCTTGGGCCGCGCTCTCCCTCTGGCTTGCGCGGCCTCCCTATCGGCCTGATCCCTCTGCGCTCGTCTGCTCCCCTCGGGGGGCACGAGACTTTGAGGTGCCCTCCTCCTTCTCCTCCTCCTCCTCCTTCTCCTCCCCCTCCTCCTCCATCCCCTCCTCCTCCTCCTCCTCCTCCTCCTCCTCCTTCCTCCTCCTCCTCCTTCCTCCTCCTCCTCCTCCTCCCCTCCTCCTCCTCCTCCTCCTCCTCCTCCTCCTCCTCCTCCTCCCCCTCCTCCTCCTCCTCCTCCTCCTCTCCTCCTCCTCCTCCTGCTCCTCCTCCTCCTCCTTTTCCTGCTCCTCCTCCTCCTCCTCCTCCTCCTTCTCCTCCCTCTACTCTTCTCCTCCTCCTCCTCCGCCTACTCCTCATCCGCATTAGCATTAGCATCATCATCATCATCATCATCATCATCATCATCATCATCATCATCATCATCATCATCATCATCATCATCATCATCATCATCATCATCATCATGTGACCTGCCGTTTCCGACGGGAGGTTGCCGTGTGACTTGCAGTTTTCCGACGGGACCCCGTGCACCCAGGTCTTCAGGTCGTTACGGGCTCTGCAGTGTCATAAACGATGTGCACATCAAAAATTGGTTCCTCATAGACATGCTGTATTCAGTAATCAATTCAGTTGGTGTTTCGGGATTTTCAGTTCGATTGAGTCGACTCGTCATCATGTGGAAATTCGGGATAAACGTCGTGCTTGTCCTAAACAACGAGGGGGAAACGCTACGGCTGGGCTGACGATTGAAATCACAATCGCGAGCCAGGGTTCCCTTTCAGTGTCCGTTCGGCGAGTTTGAGGCGACCAGTCTTTCTGTTCTACGCAAACACGTCCGTAAGCATTTTGTGTCCCGAGAAGATCGTGAGGTTTTAGTTCTCTTCCTGAGTGCGACGTCCCTGCAGTGCTCGACCTCCTCGATAGCTCGGCAGATGTTGGCGCTGCAGCAGGGGGTGGCGCAGGCGGCGGCGGGAGTTCCCGCGGCGGCAGACGGGCGAGCAGCCCAACGACAGCGAGTAGGAGGGAACTTCGACGAGGAGTACCGCAACCTCGTGGTGAACACGGCGAAGACCGTGGTCGGCCTCGGTGTCCAGTCGAGGAGATTCGCGGGCTGCTTGACGCTCGTGGTGCTAGTCAGGTCGACACAGAAGCAGTTGGAGGCGATGAGGGAGGCGGGAGTTCGCTTCGACGAAGCGAAGGCGCAGCATCGAGCAGCAGGCAACCAGGAGGAGCCCGCGCGCCTGAAGTGGGCGCACCTGCACGTGTGGATCGGGCTCTGCGTGTCGACCGTGAACGACGGCGAGATTTCAGCAGAGTCCAAAGAGAAAGTGGTGGCCCACTCGAGAGAGGGTCAGTCGGTCGCAGACCTGGAGGAGAAAATCATAGTGTGCACAGCGCAAAAGGCCTTCCGCCAGCAGAATTGGAAGGAGGACATGTATCGGATCGAGCTTGTCACAATTCCGTCCCTGAGGCCCGTGGTGGAGGAGATAATTGCCATCATCATGAGGAGCGGGGGCAGTATCAAAAAAGTAGGGGGCCCGCCGAAAGGCCCGAACGTGCGGACAGTAATACGAGCCTGGTGAATTCAGGGGAGCACCAGGCGCAGGGGCAGAGCTAGAACTAGATATGGGCTCTTTAGGACCGAGAGGGAACATTGAGCTTCTCGAGATTTCTGAGGTAGGTTTTTTTTGGAGTCGGGGCAGTCTTGGATTTTACGCTCAAGTTAGAGATTCCCCACTGGCGTGAGCGGCGCCTTGAAGTCAGTCTTCGAGGGCCTCGGGCATGTTCCCCCTCCTTGTGCTTCTTGGCGCTACAGGTGGGGCTGTGCTCAGGGGGGGCAGTGCCATAGAGTTTCGTTCCAGTTATTGCTAGACTTTTTCGGGTGGTGAGCTAGGATGCAAGCTTTTCATTCCGGCCGAGACGGGCAAAGCCCACTGACCCGAGTTCCAGGTTGTAGCG